ATGCTTTGTTTTGTGAGATATATATTTTGTCTCGCTTTTGAAATGAATGTAAATTAAGAAAACATGGAATGGTTTATATAGCCGGTAAAAATGGGGTAGTTAGTATTTTAGAATATTTGGTTTGAGATTTAGTTTTGAAAAGAAATAACTTTATTCAATCTCAATCACTAAATTATCGTGATTTTATTGTTAAATATTAAATATTATATCCGAATATTCCATTTTTAGAAGACTTAGAATAACAAATCATGTTTATATTTAATAGGCGAATTTAATTACCATAAATTAGTAAATTGTTATAAATTAAGATATAATCCGTTGATTTTGCCTACCATAAATTAATGATTTTGATATAAACGATTTAGATTTAAATGATTAAGGAAATATATACATATTATGGATTTTAAATGATTAAGGAAATATATATTCAAAGAAAATCGAATAGGATAATGATTACTTAATAAATAAATCTTCAATTTTTAATATATAATGAAATGACAAAAGTTTATTTATAAAAATCTTACAAATAAAAAGTTATATTATCAAATGTTTAAAATACTCAATGTTTAAAATTTCGATCAAGATCTTTATAAAATATTTGAAATTAAGAAAATATTGCCAATTAAGCTAAATTTTAGGCATTGTATCTTACAAATAAAGTTAAATATCAAACGTAATAATTATCTTTCCTTTAATATGGAAAACCAATTTTTTTTTTTATATCAACTGAAAAATGAACGATGGAGATTAAATCTCTAAACCAGATTAACATATCCGTTTAGTTAGTTAGATCCGCGTGTTAACCCAGTTAGAAATGATAATTATTTCATTTTGAAACTATAGTGTAAATTCATTGTGTACTTCAGCTTTAATAGTATAGATATACGATTAGCATAAGTGAACTTAGTAACATTTAGAGTAAATAAATCACTTTACTCGTGCAAGTTTCTATAGTATAGATTAGTTATCGATCGTATAACTAATTAATTTTGGCAATTATTAGTAAACAAACTAATCATTGGTTTCATAGTAGACAGGGAGACAAAACATTGTTGAAGATATACATAAAACTAGTGTTTTCTTCTCTAGGTTCTATTCTACATTTTAATAATAAGGAAAACCAAAAGAACAATTACTAAACTAACAAGGAAATAAAGCAAAAAAGAGTCATTATGTTTTTTAATTTATTAAGGATATATATAAAAAGAACAGTCCTGCGATGGTATTTTTCCATATCAGAGTGTCAGTCATATTTACTAATTTCTCCAATCAAATATTTTCTCTTCCAAAAAACGATCGCTTCACTTTCCCTATTCAATTTTCCCGGAAAATATCACTGAATCGTTTAGTTTCCCGTTTCATTTTCCGAGGATAATCATAAAATCCCCATCGTAATTAATTTTTTCTCAAACTTATATTAAGATCAAGATCAAAGCAGAGCATTTATTCGGTCTCTGTTTTGATTTCACGGAAAAAAAAAAAAAAAGACAGAGTGAATTAAGAGAAAGAAAAAAATGATGAAGCAGTTTGAATACCATGGCGTGGAGGCGGAGAAAGCGGAGGCGATGAGGAGATACAACAACCGTAGAAGCTTCCGAAACCTTCTGCGTTTTGTCGTCGTAGTTTCGCTCTGTTACTTATTGTTCCCCACGGTGGCGAGTTCGTTACAAACCGTCGGCGATTGGATTTACCGGACCGGTTCGGTTATGATAACCGGTCGTTCTCTCGTCTTCGTCTTCGCTAACCTAATCGTCGCTTCGATCTTCCTTCTCTCCGGCCAGAGCAACGACGAGAAGAGTCGTAGTAGTGGTAGTAGTAACAACGAACCAGATCTCTACGATCAATACACCTCTTCTTCCTCCGCCGTGATCGTAACCGCCTCCGAGGAGAAAGTGGTGGAAGTTGACGATGATGATTCGAACAAGCAAATCGTACCGGCGTATAACGCGGAGGTTAAGGAGGCGGTTACGATGAAGAAAGAGATATTGCGGCCGGTGTTGGAGTATCGGAGAATGGAGTCGGCGAAAGTGGTGGAAGACGATGAATCGGACAAGCAAATCGTTCCGGCGTTAATCGCAGTGGAGGTTGTGGATGAGGCTACTGAGAAGGCGGTTACAACAACGGGAATTTATAGGAGGACGAAATCGGAGGCGAAGAAAGAGAAATTCCGGCCGACGATGGAGTACCGGAGAACGGAATCGGCGAAAGTGGGGGAGATGGAAACATTGAGCAGTGAAGAGTTTCGTTTGAAGGTAGAGAGCTTCATAATGGAGAAGAAGAGGATGCTTGTTTTGGAAAACGACGTCGTCCAGTATCAAGGTCAAGGACTTGGATCTAGACATAGCCTCCGTTGCTAGTCCTACTCCTGCCTCTGGTTCTGGTTCTGGTTCTGGTTCTAGCTATGGCCATGGCTCGTGGTAGCCTAAAAAGCTGACTTGGAAGTAAGTGATGGAGAGGGGCATAAAAGTCAAAATTCAAAACATGACAAAAACATTTGGTAGTTATTATTTTACTTTAGTTAATTTTATAGGAGCGTTTTTAAAATTAGATGATGCTCTTGCTGATGGTTTTTTTTTCTTAAGAGTTCACCGGCTCTCATTACATCGTTGATGGTTTTGCTTTTATTACTAAGGCACCACAACAATGAAGTTGAAATACTTACAATTTCTCTTCGTTTTACAAAACGTATCAAACAAGTATGCTGCTATTGCTGTATCAGCAAACAAACAACTAACCAAATTATGAGTAAGGTTTCCTGTGTGGAACTGTTTGCAGCTCATTATGAGTTCTTGATCAGACTTCTAAATGAATAAAAATGACTCATTTTATATCACTCTAATCATCAATGTCTTAAACTATTACTAGAGACATTTTTCATAATGACTGATTCATAAACATATAGACCACAAATGGAGAAAATTATGATTAAAACGATAGGAGGCAAAGCACTAAAGCAGAGACGAAAGTGAGAGAAAATGGTCACTGATATATATAATGTACTTAGAATATCAACTGTAAAACAGTCTGAATTTTTCCCCCAAAAGTATCAAATATTTGCTTAGGAGACCTAAATTTGGATATAAACATTGTTCTCTCTCTCTATATATATAATATATAGGGATGGTGTATACGAAATTACCAACTTACTCAGAATTCAGAGTAACCACCACTTCTCATAATTTCGTTTAACCAACCCTCAAGCTCTCTTCACCAGCACACCTTCTTTTTCTGTGGTTTTTTTTTCAACAATAATCATATTTTAGAAAAAGTTTATTTGTTTTCAAAATGTTGAACCAAACAAAATAATTCAAGTGATTTACCTTCTGAAACTTCTCATCTTCTTCTCTCTCTATGTACGCCAAAAGATCATCTTGTCTAATTAAAGCCTCATGCAAAGCCTGTATCATATGGAGGGTATGAAGTCAATATGCAAATACATCGACGCAGTGCCTTCTATATCAACCAATGAAAGAAAGAAACATGGAATTAAGAGTTTTTTAAAATACTTACCTTTTTTGTAGCGATGAGCTCTGCTTCAAGTGCATCCACACGATAAACAGCTGTATCAAGCAACTCCTCTTTCTCACGAGGCATCTCATGTCGCTTCGAGTGCAGTGTTTCCACTTGCTTCTCTAGATCTCCTAGTCTGTTTACAACAGAAGAAAACACATTTCTCTCTGTGATATTCGCAGAAGCCGGTGAAGGAGGACGAGACTCTCTTGCCATTGTTTCATGAACTGAAGATTCAGACTGGGAGTCTCTTTCACTCTGTGGCAGAGCCACAGATGTTATAAGCCTAAGCAAGTTTACAAGGAAGGCCGTTAGCCACATCCAGATAAGATTGACCGGGCCTGTTTTGCCCAAACCGGGAGTATAGTCTGAACCTGCACCAACATATTTCCATTACATTGAAACTTTTTGCGTTGATCTGATTTCTGATTTACATATCATAGTATTTAGCTTCCACTCTCTTACCTTCTGAGGCCTTTGGCTTTTCATGGGCCATCCAAGCAACATCCACAACTTTGTCCACAATTGGTGACTCATACTCTGATGAATCAGTAGGATCTTTACTATTGGCCTTAATCTGAAAGTAAGGTCAAGTAATAAGTAAAGTAATCCGAAATGCATACTGTGATTTTCACTTTCGTACCATAAAACTCTTACATCTTCACAAACAGGAGTCAGCTTGGGAAGACAAATCCCTCTCTTTACTTTTGGAGAAGCCATCTCTTCCACTTCAGACCCTGATTCGGCCGTCGAGGTGTCACTCGCTTTTATCTAAGCCAAAGGGGACATTATTGTTACTGTCAGATACAAATTATCAAAAACAACTTTCCTGTCTAAGTCCGGAAGACCATTACCCCAGATAAAGATGGCTTATCGCTTGAGGACATACGGGAAAAACTGTTTAGAGCCGAATTATGCCTGCAGAGCAGTCCACCACTTTGAACCATCTACAGGTAGGGAGATCAGTTAGATAACATTATTCTATTAATCTGAGTAACCAAAACACAGTAAAGAATAGGCTGTGGTAGATGATTTTTACCTTTAATATCTCTGGGTCATTCCAGGGCCCTTTATCAGATCTCATACAGCCACCTCGATCTGCACAGGTGCAAGTGCCACCAAGAAAATCTGGCAGCTGGCTGAAAAAGGTTCCGAATATGGTTAGGAAAATATAAATCAGTTTTGGACTCATGTCAGCCAAACAAGACTATTGAAAAGTCTCTACCTTGCATCAATCATCTCAAGTAATTTGCTTTGGTACTTGTTACCAACAACCTATTACAACAACACATCGATAATAGTTAATACAATTAAAATCATCATTAGAATAGCTTGTGGAAATGTAGATGGATATGCATAAAAAGGGTAAATTTTACATGAATCTTCGTGACTGTTTTTGGATCAAGAAATTGTTTCACAGTGGCCCAAACAATCTTAAAACCAGAACCACCATTGATGATGAACATACGATGAAGTGTCTGCATATATATGAAATGTTATCTCACACTATCTTTTATTGCATTAATATGAAAACACACATTTGGTTACCAAATCAGTAGCAACCAGCTCATACCTCAGGGTAGTTATCATTGTCAATCTTTTGCAGCTGGATTATAAGATCCCTCGCAGGCCTAGTAAAGTTCTTGAATCCCTGCAAAACATATTTGAGAGAATTCAACGTACTAAGATGCAGGACATCAAACAATACACTAGGGAAAATCAAAAGATACTGGTTAATAAGTACCACGCCTTGGACGTCTAGAATTGTTGTACTAGAGTCAATGAATCTCTTAGCAGCAATGCAGCAAGCTGGAAGCTTAATATTGATAGTTCTCTCAAACTCTCGAACATGATACTTTATAAACCTTTCCACTGTAGTGACTTGCATGAGCTTAGCCGGATTAACTTGTCCTAATCTTTCAATGTAAACAGGTCTTCCTTCTTTGTCAACACCATGATAGCCATGAGGGTAGAATCTCAGAACTTCATCCAACTCTTCAAACTCAAAATCCTATTGACACAAAATCAAACTCTCATCAGACAAAACACCATCACATGAACTTGACACGCATGTTAAGATTTACAAAAACAAACATCTAATTCACCTCGAAAATTGTGTCTGTCCCAAAATCTTTCCTCCATTGGATCATATTACTCCACATTAACTTAGTTTTCCCAATATCAAATTTCCTAGCTTTCAGGAATCTAACAGTGAACAAGAACATAAGAATCAGTATCATCATCAAGGATGAATCGAGAGAGAGCGAGAGAGGAAGAAAATCTGACCTCAGCATAATGTGATAATCATCAAGTGTTGGAGGAAGCAAATTCTCAGAGATGAGCAAATGACGGAACTCGTCAACAGCTCGCAGCTCCTCGGCATCGTGAATGTCCTCAATGGAGAGAGAGAAATTACGATCAATGCTTCTTCTCCTGGTGCTGCTACCTTTCTTCTTAAGCGAGTGTCTGAGTTTGCTCGAAGCTTTCGCTGCTTTCTTCTTGAAATTGAAATTGCCGATCCTTGTTTTCTTCTCATCCTCAGAAACTTCGAAATCCGATCTCCGTTCTCTTCTCTCATCATTGCTCGAGCACCCTTCAAAGCCTGAAAAACAACAACAAAATCTCAGATAAACCACAACAATCCCCAAAATACAATCATCTGCCACACAATTCTCAATCCAATTCCACAGTTCTCAGACTCAAATCTCCTAAATATCTCAATCCGAACAAAATCATTAAGTAATTCGCAACCACGACGATCGGAGAAAGGGGGTGAAAGAGAAGAACTCACAAGGCCTAGCCAACCGATCAAGAGGGCCTGACATGAGGGATCTCCACGCGAGAATCGGGGGATTCTTCGAAATCGCGCAGCCCCGAGAGAGAGGGAGAGAGAAGCGATTCTTCAGAGAGAAATTGAAAGAGACGTAAGAGGGAGAAGTAAAGTGATGGGTTTTATAACTTGATCATTAGTCTTCTTTAATTAATTTAATATTGCGTTATAGATTTCATTAATTGTTGGTGTTAGCCGGAAAAAAACACCACCGGTAGACGCTAAGACCGTCGGTGAACTTTTTTTTTCTCTATTTCCTTTTCTTTTTCAAGACTTTAAGCCTTAGCTTGCTCTGTTGTTTTCTATTCTATTTCTATTTTTTGAGATTTATAATTTTAGTTAGATGATTTTTCGTTCGCGCCAATTACCGTTATAAGTTTTTTTTTAAATATAAAATCGTTGATAATAAATTATCGTGAAATGTATCGTAATAAGATAATTATTCAATAACTACGTTTATTTCTACTTATTTTCTGAGACTTTATTTTATTAACTAGATGATTTTCCCCGCGCGCCAATTACCGTTATAAGTTTTAAAATTTATTTATATAACTTCGTTGATAATAAACTATCGTGAAATGTATCATAATGAGACAATTGTTTACCAACGTAGTAGCTTACCTAAATGTTTTCTAAATTTTAAGATTGTGTAAGTTTTAGTGAGTTGGGTTTCTTTTTGTTTTACAAATTTAATGAGATGATTGAAAACTTGAAATATTGAATTTTTTATACAATATAATAATATAGTTTTGTTGTTAAACAAAATTGTCATATTTTGTATATATGAGTTGTTTAGGTAACATTGAAAACCACTTTTTAACAATTAAAATATATAATTTCCTGTCTTTATTTAAAATTTTTATTAATTTATATATTTTCCTTTTTAATGACATTGACTATAAGAAATATTTTTTTCTTTAATTTTAAGATCTCAATTTTGACAAGTGGCTGTCACACTCTTTTCCTATGGAAACGTTATTGCGAGATATTTTATTTGTATGGATATGGTTTTTGTTTCCTTTTTAATATTTTCATTTCTCAAAATTGACAATTTTTACATATTTTATTTTAAAGTTCGAATAAAATAAAATAAAATAAAATAACTTAAACAAGAGAAACGCATAGCAAAAGCTACATCAAGTCATCAACAGTACCATAATGTGACTTTCCCATCATCATCATCGGTTCACCTAAAATGTTCACTCGATTTGAATAGTTCACAAATGAAATTACAATTTAACTCAAATTATAACCAATTTAGTACGTATATTGTGGAAATGGTTTTGTGAAAAACCACGTCTTCTCGTTAGTACTTATATTATGAAAATGGTTTTGTGATAATCTTGTCTTCTCGTATGATATCTTAAATAGTACCAATGTTTCTGAGAACAGCATAGTAAAACATACGGTCAGTCCAAGGGAACATTGCAGTCTGGACTAACAAACAAAACAAAGACACTGCAGATATGTCGGCAATGTCATCTAAATTGTCTTTTTCTTCTAAACTTTTGTTAACCATATGTCACTTCATCAAATTCCATTCACATAATTAATTTATATGCTCTAACTTGTTTCTAAGATTTAAACAACTGCAACTAATAACAAATCATTTATTTTACATATTGAGAAGAAAATTAGAACCTAAATAGAAGAAAAAAGCACGAAAACAAACAACGCCGAACACAAGAGTAGACTTCAGATTAATTAGTGAGAACTTCATTGCATAGATTACCAAGTGATATGTACACATCACGCTACTACATACATTATACATTTTTTCTTTCTTCTTTTTTTTTGGGAAATGGGTAGTAGAGTGCAGAAGCAATCTTTCGATCTCCATCATATACAAAGACGACACTTCAGGCTTCTTCCTTCCTCCACTTTGATTCCGATCAATGACTTCTTCTTGTTATGTACACAGCCAATAATTGTTGATCGAGCTGCCCCAAGGAGAAACATAATAAGCATCGAGAAATGATATTTTGTCATTACGATGAATTTTCATTTCTTTCTCCTTACCTCTATCATCTCATGTGTATTTCTTCAAGTTACGTTTGGCCCGAAACTGGCCAAGCTTGTCTCTCCACTCAGCTGCAAATCGTAGAACCAACAATGTAATTGATCTCAGACCAAAAATTTAGGAAATGCTATAGAAACTTGCTGGTCCATAAATCAGATTAGTCTCAATGCTGAGCCATCAATCAGACCAGTAAGTGATGCTACCGGTCTGATATGTGCAACCATGAATGCATATTGTGGATGCAAAGACAAATAAGCTTACCGGCTTCATCATATCGCTCTTCATCAACAGCTTGCATCATGTTGCTCAAAATGTTGAACTCTTTCGTATCAAGACAAGCTTGACCATTTGGTCTGCACAAAATTGAAATATTAGTTTTTAAGCTGTACTACTCAATTCACAGCAAAAATATGTGATCAGGAAACATTGATCTTCAGGTAATTGTCTGAAAACTTACCGGTCTTGTTCAATAAATAATAAACCATCCGAAGCAGGTGTCGGTGTTGATAGCTTCCCTGACTCAATGACTCTCATTCCATCACTATATGCAAGGTACTTGTTCACTTGGATAGGGACCTATAAACGGATCAACATGATATATCAATGAATATGTATTTATATTTAGCTGAGATGACAAATAAACATATTTATGTCTTACCTTGCATCTAACAGCTATATTAATTGCATCTGAAGGCCGAAGATCGAAGCTGATACAATCCGATGAATTACCCACCTGCAATGTCGTCCCAAAAAGCAACCTTAATTAGTAGAGGAAACTGATAATTTGAAAAGATATTTAGTTTCTTAGACTTGATGGAAGTTGTATTAGGGAGACCAGTTACAAACCTTTGAAAGATATAACTGGGCAAAATACGCCTCGTGAACTCTTTTGGTGACTCTAACAAGTCTAACCTGTAGAAAAGTTGCAACATATTTCATGAAACAAAATGTTCACGAGAAGAGGAGAATACACATAGAGGACAAACAAAAACCATAAGACATACTTCGTAACCCATCTTGTCCACCATTTCCTTTACCACTTGATACATGGTCGGTCTTGCCTGCAACAAGTAATTGAAAAAAACCCATAAAACCTCTCTTCAGTCACCACTCTTTAATGATCCCAAAACAAAGACAAGGAGTGATAAAAGCATACAATTTGGACATTGGTCATAGCTGCCATGAGCAACACACTAGGCATTTCCACTGCAATAAAACAAAACAAAATAAGACACTGAAAACATTCTGAGAGTGAGATAAAACAACACTTTGGTTGCTTGAGAGTGAGATAAAAACATCAAAGTCAAAATTGAGCTTGAGCTATTAAACGTACACACGATAATTGGAAGGAGAAGACCAGTTCCATCTTCCATTTTCAAGACAATAGCAGGATGCGGAGCATAATCTGGTAAATGCCCTCCTTGAGGATTGTTGTGGACACATCGTAGTTGCCTACCGTCCCTCATCTTCACCATGAAACCATCTGCTCCACTCCTTACTTCAACTATAACATTTAAAATAAAATAAAAACCCCAAAAAATACATCAAGTTATATAAGTGGAACTCAAATTCAATCAAACCAGACAAGAAAACTTTCACTAGCTTACCAGCTTCCACTACACTAGAGTTGACATAATCTTCATCGTGTTCGTTGAAATTCTCAGCAGTGCTTCCAGTACCATCAGAGTGAGAGCTGAAAACACACTTGATAGAACTCTTGTTGCAGAATCTAAGAGTGATCGTGGTGGTGACCTGAGACTTGACACCCTTAGTCCGACTACCCAAGAATTGGCTTCTAGGTCTCAGACCAGTGTAGTTAACAAGTGAAGCGCATGCACCTACTTGTCTTGGAAGAATCGCAGGGCAAACAACTGGTGCTTGGAGCGACCTCATCTTCTTTCCTTCAATACACAATCAAAAACAGAGGAGACTTTAGTATAGTTTCAAAACATTACCAAAATCTCTAATCTGAAATCTCATCAAGTAAAAGATGAACATGCCAAAATCCTACAAAACGGAATTGAAATTTCAAATCAGTGATCCATACAACGAAACACTTAGATTCCAATACTTACTACCAAAAAAAAAAAAAAAGTCAAATCAATCAATGATCTATACAAAGAAGAAAGTTGAAAACTTAACATTGAGATCATTTAATTATCGAATTCAACCACAGATATCTAGAAAACGTATTTGATGATGATGATCAATAAATAGGAAGATCATAATAAACAGTTTGGTATTCACTTACAAATGGAATCGGATAAGATCAGATGATCGTGAATGGTATTAAACCAGTCGCAGGAGAGATTAGTGAAGACTCGAACGGATCGATTAAGAAGAGGATCGAAGAAGCCAAAGAGAGGAGAGGAGAGGATCAATGGAAGCTAGAGAGAGAGATTCTTCACTTGAACGCTGAGAGAGAGATCGAAGGAGTGAGAGAATCTCCGTTACTTTTATCGACCCAGTTTTTGGCACAATTGTCGATTTTACCCTCTCACCAGACTTGTTTCATTTTTGCCTAACCTTTGTATTTATTTATTTATGGACCAACTTTTTTCTTAAATTTGGCCATGTTTACCCAAAAACATACTAATTTTTTCATTTATTAATATTTTATAATTGTGATATAAAATGCTAATCTGATAGCATTTATTTATGTTGAATATATGTTAATTATGTTAAAAATTTATGAAGATATTATTTTTTTTGTTTGGAAAAGTGAAAGGCAAAATAGTGATCCTATCATATGATTTAGACATTTCTAATAAGGAAAAGCATCGATATAAATATTATTTGACCAAAACAAACACAACACAATAGTATTTTTTTTATTCATTGTATAAAAACTAGAACACCGTCAATTACGTATGATTTGAGCAAAAGATATACCAACAACTGTATACAATAAATTAATTAATAAGTGATAGTAAATTAGTAAAAAAAATTGTAACGAATAATTCACCTATTATTTTATTTTCTACTTTAAATAGTGTGAGTGGTTGAAGGATTTGGATTTCGTCGTGTTGAATCATTTTATTTATTTTTTAGTTTATTAAAGCTCGACATCGAAGATTCAAGATCGGAGAAGAGGAGAGAAAAACACCTTTATTAAATGTGTTAAAAGTTTGTTACAAACGCTTAACGTACACATTTACATTAATCAGCCTTTTATATGCTAACTAATCTTTACAATCTGTACCAACATTAAACCGAAGTATATAATTCTCATAACCGGATTGAACCAAGTATCCTAATATCCTCCCCTCAAGTCTTTAGCTTCATGAAGTCTGATTATGAAGATAGAGACTTGATAATGACATCTGTTGTAGAAGATTGTAGAATGGACCTGGATGCAATGGTTTGGTTAGAATGTCAGCATGTTGATTTCCAGATGTGACATGAAGAGTCTTGAGTTTTCCAGCTTTTATCTGATCACGAACAATGTGACAATCAATCTCAATGTGTTTAGTCCTTTCATGGAATACTGGATTCATTGCAATATGCAGAGCCGATTTGTTATCACAGAACAGCTTAGCAGGACAAGTAACAACCACATGAAGATCTCTGAGAAGCTGTTGTAACCAAATGAGTTCACAAGTGGCATTGGCAAGACTTCTGTACTCTGATTCTGTGCTACTTCTACTAGCAACATGTTGTTTCTTAGACTTCCATGAAATAAGAGAAGTGCCAAGATACATACAGTAACCAGAGATTGATCGGCGAGAATCCTTGCAATTTGCCCAATCCGCATCCGCAAAGCCATTAAGACATATTTCTTATTCAGCAGAATACATCAAACCAAGTCCTGGATTCCCTTTGAGATATCTTAAGACCTTATGAGCAGCCTGAAGATGTATATCAGTAGGAGCAGAGATGAATTGACTTAGTTGATGAACCGCAAATGTAATGTCAGGTCTTGTATTTGTCAGGTAGAGCATCCTCCCAATTAACTCTCTGTATGAAGTCGGATTCTTCAGCAAAGTTCCCATTTCCTTGGTTAAATGCAGGTTTGGATCCATCGGAATGGAACTCGGCTTACAACCTAACATGCCTGCATCTTCTAATAGATTCTGTGTATATTTCCTCTGACAAACAGAAATACCTGCAGAAGACCTTGCTATCTCAAGTCCTAAGAAAAACCTTGCTGGTCCTAGATCTTTAATCTTAAACTCAGACCTCAACAATGTCTTCAACTCTTCAACTGAATCATCACTATTACTAGCTATCATTATGTCATCCACATAAACTAGAACTGCTATAAAGGCAACAGAACTGTACTTGACAAATAGTGTATTGTCAGCATGTGATTGAACATAGTTAGCTCCTAGTAAAACTGAAGAGAATCTCTTATACCACTGTCTCGATGCTTGTTTAAGTCCATAAAGAGATTTCTTTAAACGACATACCGGATTTGGAGGTAAAACAGAATCCTTTGGAGGTGTGTAACCTTGAGGGAGACTCATGTAGATTTCTTCATCAAGTTCACCATGCAGAAAGGCATTAGACACGTCCATCTGAGTTAAACTCCATCCTTTTGCAGCCGCAAGAGCAAGAATATACCTGACACTGGTTAGTTTTGCAACTGGTGAAAAAGTGTCAATGTAATCAAGCCCCTCTTGTTGTGTAAAACCCTGTGCTACCAATCTTGCTTTGTATCTCTCTACAGTGCCATCAGGGTTGTATTTTATTGTAAACACCCACTTGCAACCCACCACATTCTTCCCTGGTGGTAATGATTCTATTTCCCAAGTGTGATTCAACTCTAAAGCAGACAATTCCTCATTAGCTGCACCTGTCCACTTTTCTGATTTCATGGCCTGGTTAAATGTTTTTGGTTCTGTCTCATTACTATATGAACAGATATAAGAAGTATATGAAGGAGAAAGTTTATCATAAGATATATAAGAAGTAATAGGATATGGAGTAGTATGTGGTTTAGGTATGGATATATTTGTATTTTGGGATAAAGAAGAAACAGATTCTGTAATTGATGTTGGTGGAAGTAGAGATATAAATGGAACCAAAGAACAATGATACTCAGTCAGATAACCAGGTGCCTTAGTATTTCGTTTAGATCTAGCGACAGTTCCATTATTAAAACCAGCATCAAATGTCTCTGTATCTATAATATTTGGGATAGTACTAGAATTACTACGTGTATGTGATGCAGATGCAGATGCAGAAGCAGATGCAGAAGAATGATTTGAACCAAATCTAGCATTTCTAAGATCATCAACAGGAAAGGTTTCAACAAAATGTAAAGGTACAGGTAAAGGAAGAATCGTATTAGGAAACATATCTACAGACTTAACTAACAGATGAGTAGTTTTGAAAGGAAATGATTCTTCATGAAAAGTAACATTTCTAGAAATCAATATTGTCTGAGATTCTAAGTCTAAAACTTTATATCCCTTATAACCAGATGGGTATCCTAAGAAAACTCCAGGTTTAGCTCTAGGGGAAAACTTATTTCTATCTTGTGTATAAGTAGAAGCATAGCACAAACAACCAAAATTCTTTAAAAGTGAGTAATCTGGTAACTTCCCTAGCAGTAATTCATAAGGTGACTTATCATTCAACAAAACAGATGGCAATCTATTAATCAAGAAGACTGCAGTATTAACACAATCACTCCAATATTGTAGGGGAATATTTGACTGAAAAAGCAATGATCTAGCAACATTCAATAAGTGTTGATGCTTACGTTCCACAACAGAATTTTGCTGAGGTGTGTAAACACATGAAAAATAATGAATCATACCATGCTCTTTAACTAAATCATTGAAAGCAAGCTCAGGAGCGTTATCAGATCTTATAGCTTTTATCTGAGCATTATATTGAGTAAAAATCATCTTTATAAAAGTTGGAAAAATAGTCAAAACATCACTTTTATTTCTCATCATATAAACCCATGTAACTCTTGTACAATCATCAAATAGAGTGAAAAAGTATTTAAAACCTTCTATAGAAGTAGTACTAAAAGGACCCCATACATCCATATGAACTAAATCAAAAGGATTTAAGGCTAGATTATTATGAGAAACATAAGCTAATCTCTTCTGTTTTGCTAAAGGACAGATGACACATTCTGACACACAAGGTGATACATGTTTTAAAGAAGGTATAAGACTAACTAGTTTATTCAATGCAGCTGGTGAAGGATGTCCTAACCTCTGATGCCAAAGAACACCATCAGCCAACTTTGAAGCAGTAACAGAACAAATCACAGGTTTTGATGAAGAAAGGGATTGATTCTCAATGTCAAGAATATACAAGTTGTTGTAAAGTTTACACTTCCCAATCATCAAGCCCTGAGAAAGTTCCTGAATCAAACAACATGTAATATAAAAATGAGCAGAACAGTTCAAAGTTTTAACTAAACAACTAATACTGATAAGATTGAATTTAAAATCCGGAACATGTAAAACATTATGCAAAATCAAAACAGATGTAATGCAAATGGTGCCAGTGTGTGTGATAGGAACTCTAGTACCATTCGGAAGTGTGACAGTAACATTTGATATTGGTTTTAAATCCCTAAACATTGCCAAATCTGAACAAACATGACTAGAAGCTCCACTATCTATTATCCAAGCATCAGAACGTAAAAACTGTTGTAAAGAAGAAAGAGTATGGTTTTGGAAGGTGAGATTATTATTCTCATACTTAAGACTAGTAGAAGGAAATGAGACATTACCAGAAGTAGATGTTTTTGCCATTACACCATTTTCAGAAATTGTAGCAGTGCTATGAGTACTGGTTACAGCAGCAATAGGAACATCAGAATCCGGTGCTGCATGTTGAACTTGAGAATTGAATTGTTGAACCAGTTGCTGAATTTGCTGTGAAGATAGATTCTGTAAATTCTGGATTGAACCATCAGAAGCAACATAAGGCAAAGCTTGTGCAGGACTAGGATTATACTGTTGTGTAAACTGTCCATAAGCACCATATTCATTTGCAGACAACTGATTTTCTGAGTAAACATTAGCAATAGCATTAGCTTTCTGCATAGATTCATAAGGGTTCATCTGAGCTCTAGGTTGAAAAGCCATTCGAGGTTGATATTGAGACATTGGCATCCGAGGCTGAAACTGAGTTGGTGGAACCACCTGAGGCCTCACAGTATTACCATTTGTCTTGTAACCGGGTGGAAAACCATGTAGCTTGTAACATTTCTGAATTGTATGCCCAATCTTCCCACAATGGGTGCATACAGGCTTCTGAGATGGCCGAACTGTATTATAAGCTGCTATATAAGAATTCTCCATTTCATTATCCATTGGAACAGTAGCTTGAAAAGCAACATTATCAACTCTTGAGACTGGTTTAATTTGCACATGTCTTTCATCTTGAGTCAGCATATTAAAAGCCTCCTCCATTGTTGGTATAGGTTTGAGCATGAGTATATGTCTTCTTGTCTGATCATAACTCTCATTTAAGCCCATCAAAAACTTTGTAACACGACCTCTCTGCTGAAGCAACTCCCACTTAGCAGCCGCATCACATTCACATTTACCACAAGTGCAAACAGGAAGCTCTACATAGTTCTTTAACTCTTCCCACAGAGTAAGTAATTCAGTGTAGTAAGTAGAAATGTCCATAGAACCTTGTTCTATCTTACTCAAACGTTGCTCTATAGCAAAGACCCTCGGAGCATCATCTTGCTTATAACGAGCAAGTATATTTTTCCAGATTCCTGCAGCTGTAGGAATAAAAAGCAAGCTCTGCCCAATCTTCTTGGACACAGAGTTCATCAACCATGTAGAAACTATATCATTGCATCGAGTCCAAGCTCCATAATCTCGATGATCTTCCAAAGGCTTTGGAATCGTTCCATCAACAAAACCAAGCTTATTTCTGACATTCAAGGCCATCATTACAGATCGTTTCCAGGAATGAAAATCCGATGCATTCGTCAATCGATCGGATACTAAAATCAAACCAGCATGATCATTATTGTTGACATAATACGGATTCTCAGTTTGATCGTTCTGAAATCGTTGAGAAGTCGATGGTGGATTCGGATTCGAAGATTGTGAGGTCCGTTCCGCCATTAGAAACAAAGAAGAAAGGATGCGATATATGAAATTCGTAGATCCAAACGCAGAAGCAATCAATCAAAAGAAACGAAGATGAAAAGAAGTAGAAACCCAAGATTGATTCCAGCAATGAGCTCAGAAATCACAAGAACAAGAAAATATAAAATCGTAAAAGATGAAGCGATTGAACAACTCATCACTCTGCCGATGAAAACAATTAGAAAACTCCGGCGAGTATAGAAGCGGAAGAAAACATTCAGATGTGCTCTGATACCATATTAAAGCTCGACATCGAAGATTCAAGATCGGAGAAGAGGAGAGAAAAATACCTTTATTAAATGTGTTAAAAGTTTGTTACAAACGCTTAACGTACACATTTACATTAATCAGCCTTTTATATGCTAACTAATCTTTACAATCTGTACCAACATTAAACCGAAGTATATAATTTTCATAACCGGATTGAACCAAGTATCCTAATATAGTTTTTGTTTGGTGAATGTGTTGAATCATTTCATTTGTATAGAAAGAAGAAAACAAATTAGGAAACAGGAATTGGGAAGGGTAAAAAAAGGAATTCAGCAAGCTAACCGTGATGACGTGAGAACGAGACGACGTCAAAACGCAACACGTCATCACTTGCCGGCAGACGAAATATAATCGCCTAGATGACTGCCACGTGTACCTGCGCCCTCTGTATCACAGAGATGGTTTTGGATAAGGTGTAGTGTATACATTTAAATAAATTTATTAGAAACATGTTTTTGTGTTTTGCTTTTCTTTCTTTACTTATCTTTTTAATCTTCTAGAACAACTGTACCTTTTGGTAAATGTCCCCCGTAAAACTATATATTTATACTAACTAAATTTAGAGTATTTTTTCTAAAAAAAGTTAACATATAACAGAGACAAAATAAATATACTTAAATCATCTCGATTATATGTATTTATAAATAAACACATTATTTTAAAGTCATGATCAGAGTAAATGAATTGATTGGCCAATAAGAGGAAAAGGCAAGTCATAATCAAGGAAAGTGAAGTAAGCAAGTTGAAATGAAACGAGTACAACAAAATTGGTTTCTATAAGTCAATGTCAATGAAAGGGCCCATTGAGATGCAAATACCTTATCGGGTCCAAAAATGTATAAAATTGATAGGTAAATGGCTTCGCGAGCGTTCCTTCGTTATCCAATCTCCCAGAGCCCCCCCAAAAAAAAATATCCACTCCCTCCCTCAATCTTTGGATATTTAATTTTTCATCATTTGGATTTTACTTGTGTGTATGCAATATGCATTATTGCTTTCATCATTGAGACTTTGGTGTGCTAAGTAAATAATATTTGTCTGTAACATATTACAAAATATGTTGGTCCATTTAAAACCAAATTCGGCCCATATTCAGGGTCCACTAGTTTACCCATGTTTTTCGCATCTAATTTTTGGTCACCCGCATCTAACGAATATGTTAAGTTTTGATTTTAAGTTTTTAACCACAAACCAAAACAAAACAAAAAAAAAAAAAAAAAAAAAACGGATCGAAATTCAGACATTTGGGCTTATAAACAACGACAAGGCCTAAATTTCAAAATCCATCTATGTAATAGTAAAAGTCAACGGACACTAATCGTTAACCCCTCCTCAATACGGACAAAAGATGAAAGCATTTTACAAACGACTGAATTGAATTGGTCAGATGTAAACACTTATAATTTTTAGTTTTTTGCATCATTGTTGTCCAATAGAGAAAGTATAAAACATATTTGATTTAAAAAGGAAAAAATGATATTTGGCTATTATGTACTAAAAATTATATAGATTATTACCGAACTTAATTACAGGATTTACATTTAACCGATTTTTACTTAACTCTACTGGTACTGTACTATGTAATTATGTAGTATGTACAATGTATCATTTCTTAATGTAATATTGTATCTAGATCCCTCCAAATAAACACAGAATAAATTGTATTATTATATATCATAAAACCGATGGTTCTAGATGCATTAATCAGTAGGAGGGAACCTTCAAGTTCTTTCGATTGAAGAAAAGCTAAACTGAAAAGAAAACAAAATGCTTAAAATAAAATAAAAAGATATTCAGATGCGCGTATATGTGTTTGGTATTGATAAGGTGTGTGTTGTGTTCTGATATTATTTTTCTGCGACTTTTAAAGATTCGATGTCGGCTGCTCTCTCTAAGCCTCGTTCACTCACTCTCAATACTTTACCATTCTCTTCCCCGACCCAACCCAACCCTACCACTATTTCATTCTTTCTTTCTTCTTTCTTTTTTACCACTTTGCTTTCCTTTTTTTTTTTTTTTCATTTTTTAACTTTACATAGAACGTATAGTAGTAGTATCCATTATGTTATTGATTAGTTTTTAAAGCACATCCGTTTCGGTTGTATAATAAGGTTTTCATGAAAACGTTTTTTGTTTTTCTCCAAAGTTTATATATATAAGATAACGTTTCGGTTGTATAATAAGGTTTTCCTTTTTTCTTTATGACTTTTTGGATCGCAAATTCATATATTACCGTAATTAAAGTTAGCCCATGCATATACAATTACTGTATACAAATCTGTGGTCCTTACTCATTTTTATCGCTATGCACACAACTATGACTCCTAGCTAATTAAGATAAGTATTTATGTACATGAACATCGACAACAGTCTCAGCGACTATTAAATAGTTTATCTTTCTAGGAATGCATGAACCTGAAATCACGTACCCGTTGCCTTTAGACTAATTTTTCTTTTTCTTTTTTTGCAATTAAGTTATAGGTGATGTTCCCCTTCCTCAAATGATCCAAATTTGTAACACGTCGATGATATTGTTTTGAGTTTCGTCTTCAACAGTTACGTACGAGACAGGAATTTTAAGCAATAACAAGAAAAACGACATGCTCAAATAGTCAAGTTTATAAGGAGATATATATGTAACACAATTGTATATTATTGTATAATTTGTAGATTGCTCTTTTATAACTATAAGGTACATAACTATATATACTATAATGAGTGTGTTAGTCGAATCTGGTTTATATAATCCAAGATTTGATAGATCATGCATGTCGATACTGGTGTCTGGAACTTGTTCCAAGGATTTGTTTATTATGTTATCGTTTAGGTATTCTTTGGTCTTGGTTTAAAGAGAATCCTTCTAGAATTCATAATATTTTTATATAAGAATTCACACACACATATATAAAAGCATTTTCTTAAGCAAAGGAATATTCCCTCCATTTACATATTTGTTTTAAGTTATTCATCAATCCATTGTGTCATTGTGTTATATACGTAACTGCGTACGCATATATAAACTTATTTGTTTACTCAGTTATTTTAACGGCGAATAGTTCGGTTTTCTTTCGGACCAAGAATGTTTGAATCCACATCCACGGCTGCAGTGACTTCGATTGAAATTCGAATTCATACCTAATAGAAATTGAAACAGTAACTTCTCTGATTGAATAAGCTAGTTTCTTCAGCACTAACGACGTGCCATGTTACTATAGCTCGATTGATACTATTGTACTCTATAAATATAGTTCTTAAGAGATAAAGTAATAGAGCATGTACGTACGTTTCGGTTAAACTCACAAATGAAGATGTTTGAATGTGCATGTGCGATTTTTGCCTTAGTACCGAAGGAAAAGTCCAGGACCGTACAAAGGTAGACAAGAAATCTCGACCCCTAAGTTGCAACATCAGTTTTTGATGTGATTTGTATAAAGAAAATGTTTACGTATAACTTATGCATGTGTGTGTTTCTTTACAATGAATGGCCAATATAAAATGCAAACTGTTACACATATATTCAACTGATCTCGTAATGTCGTTGTGAGGCATATATAGTGCAACGTGTCCATAAATATTTTGAAAATATCTCCTGATTTTCTTTTTAGGAATTTAAAGATTTTGCAACTAATAATAAATTAGGATAAAATAAATAGTTGTCAACATATATAATTATTTTATTTAGTTAAACTTGACTTTTTATAATTATTTGATTTACAATTAAAAAAAAAATCTAGAATATGCCCACTGTATTAGAGAAAGGAAAAACAGGTTTACAAAATATGAAATTGACCCCAATTGTTTGCTTTTATTCTCGTTCGACCCTACATGGCCAACCATCAAAAGAGTCATTATCTTCCTTCATCGATTAATATAACGAGAAAAGGCTTTCTTTTCAAACCTCTTGATGTTAATAGAATAGTCTAGTCTTAGCTAAACAAATTATCTTAACTTAGTGGCATAGCTGATATATCTCTGTCTCTATATATATCCATCGATATATCGAGACAATTGATTGAAAAAATCAATTACATAATTAAGGACTATATATCTCACATGTATTAAGATTTAAGAATTAAGAATGAGGAAAATAGAAAGAAAAAACAAAAAACGAAAACCTTAGAGTCTCATATTTGAAAGAGATGCAAAACGAATATTAGGCAACTACTAAGTGATCTTAATTAGCGAAGGGATTACGAACAAACCACCTCTATTTATACATTTATTTACACATTTATGTCAATGTTTTAAAAATCAAAACTATGTAAGAAGAATATGAGTTTTTGTTCCTGTTATTATCAAGTTTGATTAATTTAATCTAACTTTCACTAGGTACCTAATCCAACAAGTAAAAAACATAATGCTCATATTTAACTGAAAATGGAATATTTTTTCTAGGGTACCTTCATACCAATTGTTGAGTATTTCCATTACTTAATTTCTATATAGATTTATATAACATTGATAAAGTATCCATTCATGCAAATTGACTAGTCACCAGAACCCACCTATAAAATAATTTGGCAAAAACTTCTTTTGGCTTTTCGTTTTCCAGTTCAATCGATCGAGAAGGATTCCACAATTCATTTTAAAAGCAAAATTTTCTGTTAATAATTTCAAACCCACCGGTCCTGCTTACTACATAATTCACTTGAGTTTTTATTTTATATTTGCCCTTTGTATGACCAAAAAGTTATGAGTTCTGCGTGGCCATAATCTATATCAATATCATATAATATAAAGAGATATACTCTTAGGAGTATACTCAAATTTCTATGGCTATATACTCGAATTCAGTGAAAAATAAAGATTTGTTTATGTAATTAAATGTCATATAAAATGTGACTATACAAAGATATACACATTTAAATAAATAATTTGTTGGTAGTCCCTGAAATCATTCACCGGTTATGTTGTTTCGTAAATAAATTATTATGGAATGCTAGCAACCAAAAAACCATTAAACTTGCCTAGCTTCAAGGTAGTATGTACATAGAATAAAAAAAGTGGTTCTTCAATATAAAAAACAACTCCACAATGCTCGCAAAGAAAAAGGGAAAAAGCAAAGGGAAATAGATCAATGCTAAGGAAGAAACATAAGGGCATGTGCGTTGAGGTGTTAGGCAGATTCAGAATCTTTCAGACCTTTCTTTTTTCTTACCTCTATGATCTCTCACAAGCTTGATTCTATATTGTAACTGCAGCCCTAATAATAATTATAACATTTTGATTCCGCTTTTTGATATAAAAACCAGTTTTTGCCAAAACGTAATGTCTTTTGCCTTTGCTTTTATAATACTTTTTTCCCCCAATTTGTGTATATGTTTCACTAAGCAACTTGTATCCCTTTTGCGTTGGGTAAAAAGAGACTTCATACCACTGACCACACACCACTTACCAAACTTTGCAGTACTAAAATCTCTCAACTTTGTTCAGTTTTTATTACTTTTTCTTTATGATGAGTTTCAACACAATTTAACATTAAACCAAAAAAAAAAAAAAAAGAGATATAACACGAAAGAAAATGTTCATTAATTAAACTATATGATCGATGTTTATAACGTGCATAGAAGTTAAAACTTTTTAATCTGATCCCCCTTTTTGTAACTTAGTAAGCAATCCTGAAAGTTATTTTATTAAATAAGATCTATATCTAATTAGATATGATGAAGTAGTTTTTCTGACCTAATAAACATTAAAATAAAGTTAATTAGATGGTTAATCTGGTTTTTTCTAATTATTTTAAATTACATTTTATTTTTATGAATGTGATGTTATATTCCTTTGGTAAAGAGCAATAACAGTCACTTTTTTTTTTGTTCAATGGGAATTATTGAGGTGACTATTATTGTTTTTTTGGTAAGTGGTAACCATATGGTTTATAGACATTTATAGTGGGATCTTTTGCATACCCCAATCCATGTCGCAGTTCTATTCTTTTCTTTAACTGATTTCGGGTTTATGATCAATTTGAGATAGTTTTGTTTTATATTAAGAAAACCTTGTTGATTTGGCATTAATGATCTATTTAACTATCTTCAATATCATAAGAAAAATAATGTAAAATAAATTATGATTCTATATGAAAATCGAAAAATAAAACATATATATATATACTGTATTATTTATTTAACGATCAGTTACAATGTAAAAAAAAAGGTAAAAATAAATGAAGGACAAGCCAATAGTGTGTCAAGAAGACAATTAGTACAAATTACTTTTGTTACATATTCCAATGAATGCAAGGGACAAATTGATTAATATGTTACCTAATTATCGTCAGACCTCACTTATTTTGTTTGCTTGATGAACCAACATTGTTTATTTATATATTATAGTATATTATTACAATTTCATTTTATAAATATTGAAAAACAAACAACAAAAGAAACACAAAGGGACACGTGTCGATCGAGAAACCCATCTATGAAGTTTCAACTTAACTTACTATGGGTCCACATGCGCACACAGAGCACTGCACGTGACATGTCCGTACGTCTGACGGTCCATCTAACATAATTACCTTTTTAATTAGTTAAATTTAAAAGCTATATGTTTACTTGATAAAGCGATGATACTTCTCTTTCACATTACATTTTAAAATACCATAATAATAATAATATAAAATTTCTTTTATATTTTTATATTTGTTTTTATATTCTTTGAAATTTAAATAATTTTTCAAAATTTTAATAGATTTGAAGCTAATTTAAAACAAAAAAATGCACCAAAATTTACAATAAAAATCTTAAACAACACTTAATATTTTAAAAATAAAAATTAATCTTAAAATGAAACTTTTGGTAAAACAGTGAATGTATCTATTTGTATTTTATAATACTTAAATTAAAGAATGTACTTTTGAAAAACGTAGGATATTAAAAAAAAAAAAACGTAGGATATTTGTGCTTTTTGGTAAGAACAATACTACATTACAAATCAGATGTCTAAATTAAATATACCAGTCCTGAAAAAAATGTATAATGTTTAATATTTTATAAAACAGAGGGAATACACAAAGATGTAATTTTATTGATAAAAACACTGATGTTTTATACCAAAATAGATATAAATTTTTAATATAAAAATATTGTACTAACATAATAACTGGTTAAATTCATACCTAATAGATTTATATATTTTTAAAACATAGCATGATTATATTTGTAGAATTATTATTTACTTGCAAAGTAAATAATTTATCTTATTTGATTAATGTTTGAATTATTTTGAGGGTGAACATAATTTTTGGCAAAGAATTATATAGTGTAGTTTGATCAAAACATCAGAAAAAAAAAATCCAAGCAATGATATAGTGTAGTTTGATTGTAATTCCAATGTAATTTATACCACAGTTCCTAGGTTACATAACAAGTTCACTTTAATTATAGTATATCTTGTTCAAGTTCTCTTAAACGTAGAGAACTATTTTTGTATATATTTGTACAAGTAACAAAGTCACAACCCATGTTGTTTATAGGTACTTAATTCAAATATTAATTAAATAATTGATTGAATTAATTGAGATGAGAACATGAGAGGATACCGAGAGTACCCATAGATGAATGAGGAAATAACACCTCTACCCTCCTCATTCCTCAATCATCATTTGTCTTTATACTCCAGGTGTCTGTTGCTGAACGGTTAATTCTGGTACTTTGGGCGGTGATTCTCATGTTTATTACTCTTTAAACAATGCCAGAAGACAGAACCAGCTTAATTATTTCAGTTATTATTCTTTTCTTTTTAACCTTTAAAGATTCTCTCTAATAGTACTTAAAATTTTGCTTTAATACACAATTACAATTAAAAAACGTCGTTTGACCAAGAAAAAGCTAAACATGTTAACTTTATAACAGAGAATAAAAAATTCAAAGGATTTAAAAATAAATACAATATTTTCACATATGGAATACTCCAGATTATTTCCTCTTTTTCCTATACAAAATGTCTAAAAATAGTCATTGGTTATATACAAAATACAGAGTCGTATTAACATACAATTAAAACCCATACAGCATAAATGAAAATTAAAAGAAAAATATTGGAAAACAGCTGTAACTTGACTGTTTCGGAAAATCCCACTTCACATGCTTCTCCTCCTTCATCAAACACCTTCCCCAGTTTCTTTTCAATTTTTTTCTTTTCTAATATTCACTTATTACTCTCTTTATTTTTATTTTATTTTATTTTAGGTTAATTAACTTTATTTGTGGGGGTTAGATGCTCTAAACACTTTATCACACTCTCTATATAATCCCCTCCTAAATCCCTAATTTACCTCTTCCCCCTTCGCTCTTGAATCAATCACTCTCTCTCTCTCTCTCGTTTTTTTTTTCTTCTTGATTGTTCATTTTCTTCTGCCTTTTTAACTTCTTTCTCTCTCTCTATTTTAAGGTTTTTGATAATCAGTGTGTGGGTTGTTTGTGTCTTGATAGTAATAATAATAGTTGGATGTGGAAAAACTCTGGTGGATCTTGATGTTCAAACATTCATGTCTCCGGTGATTAGTGAAATCCTTAGATCTGGTTTAACTATAGACTCGTCTCTTAGACGCAGGACCCATCTCGTTCAATCTTTCTCCGTCGTGTTCCTCTACTGGTTCTATGTTTTCTCATAAATCATCTCTCCTTTAGCCCCCCCTCTAATATATCTATATATTTTCTTTAACCATCTTAATAATAACATCTAAAACCATATAATATACTACTTTTCCGTATTCGTTCTACATAGTAACGTTTTGGGTCCTGCGTCTTTCCTTTTAGTGTTTTTGTGTGTGTTTTTGAGTCTTTTTTTCTTTCTATGCATAATAAAACTGAAATGGCATCGTCGACGAGTGGAAATAGCTCGTCGACGATTTCGATCACCGGTTTACAAAACTCCGGTTCCGAGTCTGATCTCCGGCAACGGGATCTGATAGACGAGAGGAAGCGTAAGAGGAAGCTGTCGAACAGAGAGTCAGCTAGGAGGTCGAGGATGAGGAAGCAGAAGCATTTGGACGATCTCACCGTTCAAGTCACGCATCTACGCAAAGAGAACGCTCAGCTCGTCGCAGGGATCGCCGTCACCACGCAACACTACGTCACGATCGAAGCGGAGAACGATATTCTCAGAGCTCAGCTCCTCGAGCTCAACCACCGTCTCCAGTCCCTTAACGAGATCGTTGACTTCGTTGAATCATCATCATCATCATCTTTCGGATTCGGCATGGAGACCGGTCCGGGACTAGTCGACGTCGGTGGTGGCGGAGGGTTTTACGACGGAGTGATGAATCATATGAGTATAGGGTTTTATAATCAACCAATCATGGCTTCTGCTTCTACTGCTGCTGATGTTTTCGACTGTTGCTAAAAGTAATCAAATTCATATCATTATCAATATGTCATTTTCTTATATGATGCTCTGTTTTATTATATTATAAGATGATTAATTAACGCTTATTTAGTGTTTAAACTGATTGTAATTATGGACAGTGTAAGATGATATGTGATGAAATCATGAAGATGCTGATGTGAGTTTCGTATAACTTTTTTATTTATTTATTATTATATAAACATAATTTTGTCTTTTAGCTGGGGGTTTCCTATTTTCCTTATTTGGGAGTATATGTTGCTCTTATTAGAAAGATGAGATTTTTGGCTATTAGTGAAAAAAATGTGAAAGATCGTGGACGGTTTTGTAAGATGTTTGTGGGTGGTCCATAAATAAATACTATATAGAAATGGTGTGTTGTGATTATTGTGTTGGAGACCTATATTGTCCGAATGTGATAAATAATGATGCGTTTTAGTACTTACATCTAAAATGAGTTATTATCATGGGTCACTCGAGTTTTCTCCTTTTTTTTTCAAGATTCTTACGTACGAGGCACATGATCTCACTATATGCATATATCAATTATTTCGTCTTCCTTTTTTCCTTTAAAATATCTACATGTCAATTCTATGATCGCTGATTCCGATCAACTAACATTGTATATGTAGGATTGTTGTGTCTTAATTTTTGCAATATTTTCATTTACAAGTTATTCAACCTCAAACCATACGTCTCATGTATTTTATAAATGTTGCTAATAATTAATGCTGTATTTTTATTTGTAGTATTATGTTTTCTTATATTACAATAATTGTTTTTTGGTCATCATCACTTTTTTTTCGATACAAGCAAAATTGGTTATCGTGTATGGGTTATAAATATATAACTTGATTTTATTAGAACTGTATGGTTGAAGCCACTTTAAAATTTCGTGTACTAACCTCAAACGAATATTTTAACCACTAGGTATGAATGAGTTTCGAAGTTTTATTACAAATATACAAATGATGACATTTGATGAGATAATTTGACAAAACAAATCACCCTCAATGATCGTCAGGCACCAAAACAATATTTTAGCTAACTTTTTACAAATCGACCAAGCTAATTGGTCACTGACGAAATGATTAAAACCATAAACTAAACAAAAAGAAAAGAAGTAGTTTCCAATACTTGGAGAATCATGTAATGTTCAATGAATCCATACACTGCGTTGATTAGTGATCTTGTCCTTATGTGATTATTGCAAATAGTATAATATTTACTCTGTGAAATTAAAGGAATAAACAAATGGGGGCAAGTAGATGTTCGTGTCTCTGATCTTAGCGTACGAATAATAACTCTATATTCTTGAAGGTGATATTATGTGGCGTATATATTTCTATGCCTCCACCACAATTTGTGTTGTAGTCTTTTATAAATTGATCCGAATAATACACGTACGAAAGCTTCATTAGAATCGATTCTTTAGATAGTTGCACCATTCCATTCTTCATTTATTTACGATTAATATTCGCGTTACCACTATCTATATTATATATATATATATAGGTTCGTAATTTCGTAAACAACTACAATCACATAACCGAAAGAAATATAGATATGAGGTAATCTTATCTTTTAAAGGTTACAAACATGTCCGATCCGGGCATAAGCACTGACGTACAGGTTACAAGATTAAAAACTTATTTAGTAACTAGAAAGAGTTTGGAACTCTTTAGATCAGAAACGTTGTATAGAACTGATGAGAAAGGAGAGCTCAGGAATGTATAAAACACATTGATTTAAAGTGTTTTGTTTTGTTAAGACAAGCCATACATCAGGAACGATGTTTGAGTCCATAGCCAAAGCAAAAGACAAAAACTCTTTGAAAGATTCGACCTTCGAACGCCATGATGATGTTGTCAAATCAAATATAGTGGCGGGTGTATGTGTTTATACCTTCTTTTTTTTCTCCCATTCGAAATGACGTCGTTTTGAATATTTTCACTGTAGATTGTGTAAACTACGTCGTATTGACTAACCCGAGAAAACAAAAAACAAAAAACAAAAAAATCACGACGAAATAAAGCGGCTGTTCATCTTCTTCGATTCTGGTCTTTTTTCATAGGAGGCGGGCGATTTTGACTGCTTCTAATTCTCGCCGGCGACAATACCTTACTGTTTCTGATTTCATCATCCTTTTTCCTCTCACGTTGTTTCAGGTAAATCTCTTTTTTTTTTTTTATTAGGTTTAGTTTAGGGATTTCGTAATCAGTTTAAGAGAATCTGTTTCTTGTTCGATTATTTTTTTGTGCTTTGTTTCGTAGATTTATTTACCCGAGTCTTTTGTTTCCTTAGGTTCTCAGTTGTCTCTGTATATTGGTTTGCTTGCTTAAGAAAATTCGTTAATCTTTTTATGTATTGGTTTGCTACTAATTAAACATATTCTCTCTACAATGTCGACATGTATAGTGATTCTTTTTTGTATTTCAATTTGACGTGTCTTTGATTTCATGTTATGCAAACAAACTAAACAATTTGGTATCTTATGTCTTTTTGGTGACCATATTGATATCTTCCACCACTTGTAAAGATGATTTCATACAAGAGTTCATGATTATTTTAACATTTTAAACTTTTTGCTTCCTTTATGAGTTTATCCTAGGATTACTTTGAAGATGTAAGTTTTGTAATGGTGTTTGTTTCCAAGATACGATAGACAAGCTAAAACATCTCCTGTGACCATCTTGAAACAATTGAGTTAAAGATTAGATTTTCCTTTGAACCATCTTGGCTACACTCTGTTCTTTGTGTCTCGTTTGAAGGCTTTTATGAGTTTTCCCACACCTTGAGACTTGTCATAAATCTCTGATTGTGAACCCATTGATCTTTTCATAAACAATCTGTGTTAGTTGTCTGCTGTGAACTGCTGTTTATAATCAGTCACTAGCTCTTGTCATTCATCACCAAGTCAGTTATTGAGTTTATATTTACAATCTTTTGGGTTTAAAAATGTTGTCCCTATGAGGAACTAGTTTTTATGTATGTTTCCCCTTCTGTTCTTGTTATTCATGGTGGATGATCATTTTGCCTTGAGCAGTCAAGAATTGATCATTTTGTCTCCTTATGCAGATATCAAAACATTTTCTTGAGCTATGAGCACAGCGACCCGGCCTTCATCTTCAACAACAACAACCTCTGTCATCTTAGAAACCCCTATTTCTCAACCGCAGCTGACAGAAAGATTAGTCCTTCGTTTGACCCGGAAGAAGAAGAAAGTTTCATGGAAGGACGGGACCGTGGACAACGAGTTTATGCAGAGGAAGAGTTCAAAGAAATGTTGTATCTTTCACAAACAGAAGCCCTTTGATGAGGATGACAGTGAAGAAGAAGAAGAAGAAGAAGACAACAACAACCACCACCATCACCATGATCATGAACATAACCATGAACACTCCGAATCTGGCAGTAAGGCCTCGTCGTCTTCAAATGATATTAAAGCTGATGACTGATCGATCGGGTTCTCTTATCACTATTATAGAGCTATTCAAGCCTTTTTAATGGATCAGTGAAGATAACAATTTTGATATTTTGGTTTCATTTTCTACTCTTCCCGTTACATAACCCTGGTTTGGCTTTTTATATGTAAATACAGTGTGCAGATTCCGTTGCAATTGATCAATGTTGACTAACCAACGTATGCAAAAAAATCAGTCATATTGAATTGAATGTTTCATTATGTCAGAAAAATATCGCCTTAAAAATCTTGGAAATGTAAATGATCCCACATAAAGATTCAACTAACTTTACAATTCTCAAATGGTATGGATCTTCTTAGATGGTCTTCACTTGTAATCATGACACTCGATGAGAAAAATTTAACAAATAGATAACTCTCACGCACCATAAAGAATGGCTTCATATCAACTTTTTGCAAGCCTACCAAGAAATAGGTGCAAGTGGTCATGGATGAAATGATTAACATATGAACCAAAAGTCATTTTTTCCAATATCTGAAAAACTCGTATATATGTTCAATGAATCTAATTGTGTATTGGACAAATGATGTTGTCCTTATTTGACTGTTGGAAAATATACTCTGTTGAAAAGGAATAATAAAAAGTTGTACTCGTGACTCTGACTTAGCGTAAGAATAACACTATATACTCCAGGGCAATATGTGGATTACATTACTCCATCTACGGATTCTCCACCACTATTTTTATAATTCGATCAGAATAATACACGTACGAAAGCTTGATCAGAATCTATTCTTTAGCTAGTTGCTCCCATATAAGGCAAAAATATATTATGTTTGGATGGGCCAAACAGCAAAAGGTAAAATAAAATAAAACAATGGCGGGACGGGAACTATAGCTGTTATTTATACTCTGCAGAGGTTGTCGAGTGATTAAGAGGTCTGGTCCAGGCTTTTTGTTGGTGATGGGCCCTCAAAGGAAGCCCATTATTTAAATACTGATACTGTGACTAGTCAAATCAAATCTCTTGAAACAAAAAGTCACCTAGGTCTTCATCAATCCATGTGGGAAATGGTTTGAATGTGATTAACGATATCATACCTTAAATGGATTTTGTTTTTAAAAAAAATATGATTTTAATTCAAGAAAAGAATTTTCATAAGTGTGTATACAGTTTATAAAACAATTCGAATGATAGAAAACAAAAGTTACAAAGCATGAGGTGTGTGTGTGGCGTGAGTTTGAAAATAAGTAAATGGGTCTAACCTAAGTTGCTGACAGGTTTTGGCATTTATACTTGTAAGTACATAAACATTGATTAGTGTTATTTAATTCATCACTAATTTATTATGGAAACTGACGAGAGTGGGTGAACGAATACTGTATATCACTTTGATGTGTGACTAAGGAAGTTGTAAAACATTTTTTTGTAATATAAATTGCAATCAAAACTTTGTTATGTATGAGTGTTGACGACAAAATGTGGTCTTTATATATAAAATAAAAAATAAAAAAAAATTGAGGGCATCAAAGTTTTTGGCTTTTGCGGCTAATGGAGAAACAGTAACACGTAGAGCGCACTCCCCCGTGGTCCATAAAGCCACCAAACCTCTCTCAATTAACCCAAAAATAATTAACATAATTATAATTTCGAAATGGTGTATTAATTACATTTTACTGATCTATTCTCTCTCTTCTATGGTTCTCAATGATCTTTAATTTTTTAATCAAATTCATATGTTGATTCCGAAATAGATAAAACTTTACGAAAAAGCAAAAGTAAAAAACAATATAAAAAAAAACATAAATAAAGAAAAAGCAAAAACAAAAGAAAATAAATAAGGAAGAACAAAAAAGTGGAGGAACGTGGCACAATTCCCCGTGCGTGCTTTTGCCTTCGCTTCCCAGACGCAAAACGCAGACGCACCCAATATCAAAACTGCTTCCTCTCTTCTTCTCTCTCTCTCTCTCAGATCGATTTTTTTGGGTTTTTCCGATCATTCAACGGTAATCTCCGCCGTTTATTTCATCAACGGAGGAGGATCTAATCTCCGTGTACGTATGCCCTTTTCTTTATACATACGCCTTTTCCTTGATTTTTTTGATTCCGCCGAAACCTTCTTCGTTCTCGTGAGACCCCTTTGTGTCGTCGTGATTACGAAATCGACTTAAGAATTTGTAGGTTGATTTTGTTGTTTACTTGTGTATTTTGTTATTCTTCTTCTCCCTCTTCTCTGAGCTTTTGTTAATTCATTTTGTATCCATTAGAATTGATCGCTTAATTCATAACATGATCAAAATCATAATTAGTTTCTTCAGTATCTGAGTTTGTTTTCGAGATACTCTTCTCTTCCCTGTGTTCCATTTTGATCTGTGTATATTTGGTTATACGAATCTCAGATCTTATTTGTATTGTGTTTTTTTCTCGGTGTGCTTACTATGATCTGTTTCTGCAGGGTTTACAATAGGTGACTGTTGTTACTGCGTGAGGACGTATACAAGTTGTTTGCAAGTTTTGTGTTTAAGTTAAAGCAGCGTATTGGAGAATAATAGAGATTATGGGTTCAGTTTGTTGTGTAGCTGTGAAAGACAGAAAGGTTCCTCCTAGTAGTGGTGGACCTGCCAGTGCGTCTGTTCATCGGAACTCAGTTTGTTCGCCGCAGTGGAGTTTCCGGCGTGACAATAGGAGGCGAGTGGCTGATGAGATTGAGGGTTCACCTTATTACAGTTCGTTTGTTGGGAGTAGAGGTATTAGTATGGATAAGATGTCATTAGGGTCTGATAGAGGAACTTTATCTGAGGGAGGAACTCCTCCTGATGGGCATTTAGGGACTCCTGCCTCTCACAAATCAGCAACTCCAGAGATGAGCACTAATTCGATGGTTCCACCTTCTTCAGGTTATTCTCTAAGACAACAACTATTGGGAGATTTATCTTACTCATTATTTTGAGTCTGTTTTAGTTCTTTCCTTAAATCTTCCCATTCCACCATCATGATCAAAGATGGAAAAGCATTTGTAGTCTGATTATATTTATTCTGTTGTATAAAGCTTGCTAGTTTTCATTATCTCTTGTCGTTGTTGACTAGATATAGTTGCCAAGTCAATTTTAAGTAGGATGTTTATGACCATATTCTAACTTGGCACCAGGAACTATTACTGTAATATATTAAGCTTGCTTAATGTGCTCTTGCGGTGTCTTATGTTACACTTTTGTGTGCGGCAGGTTCATCCTTGGCAAGCAGTGATCTCATTGAGGTGAGATTATCAACTTAACTCATAGTTTGAGCTTTACGAGTTTTGATTTGTTCTCTGTCATGTGTTTTTCTTAAGCACCTTTGGTTTCCTTACAATTTGAGGTTAAGAGTGCTGGGCTTTCCTTCTACTTGTGTTTCTCCTAGGGAAGTATTATCTTCTTTCCTTCAGGTTTCCTAACCTCTTTTTGGTTCTTCATTGTTTCAGGTGAAGAATTTCATTGACTCACCTGGAATTGTCCCATCAGCTTTACCGAAACCTTTGTTCTCTACGCCTTCTCTTCCCAATCCAGTCGGTGATCTTTCCTCGACGCACACGCGTTTGCTTCCTCCTAGATCTACACCATCAAGACGGGCTCGGCGTTCACCTGGGCACCAGTTGTTTAGGCAGGTTTCTGATAGTCAAATTTTAGGATTGAAATCCCCAAATAACAATTACTCAGTCTCAGAAGGAAGGTCATCTTTTGTGCTTTCGACCTGTAGCAATGACTTCGCCACTGGATCCCAATACGCATCCTCTGAAGGTGGTTGGTCTGTGAACACTTTTTCTGAGCTTGTGGCATATTCTCAAAGGGAGAGATGGTCCTTTGATAGCGAACACTTGGGTTCTGGCAGACGGAAACTAAGTGGTGGTAGCAGCAGATTCTCCTTCTCCCCTTCCGTTGTTGATCAGCAGACTTGTGGAGCTTGCTCAAAGTTACTGACCGAGAGGTCCACTATTGCCAATTTCGAGCTCCCAATTGCTGCTGTTCTTGCTTGTGGCCATGTTTACCACGCAGAGTGCTTAGAGACCATGACTACTGAAATAGAGAAGTACGATCCTGCCTGTCCCATATGCACGATTGGGGAGAAACGGGTTGCGAAAATAACAAGGAAAGCCCTAAAAGCAGAGGCGGAAGTGAAGGCGAAACAGTACAAAAGATGTAAAAACCGGGTGGTAGATAGTTACGGTGAAAGTGAATGTGATGATTTCGAGTTCCAGAAAATGGGAAAACGAGAAGGCGAAGCGCTCAAGCTGGAACCTAGTTGCAGTAGCAAGAGCTCGTCTAATAAGTCATTCTTGAAATGGCACTTCGCTTCTATCAGCTCCAAGTGGAGTAAACCCTCGTCCAAAGACTCTGCATTGAAGAAGGGGTTTTGGTCTAGACATCGTAATAACCGTTCTTCATCAAGCATAGAGGTAAAGATCTATACACTGAGATATTTCCAATCCTGAATTGCAAAAGAAATGATAATCTTGTAATAACCAATAAGACGTATTTCAGGGACTTAACCAGACATCGCAGCTATGATGAAACCCCATGATCTGGATCAGAGGCATGTGGGTTATTTAGGAAAGCTTTGTAAAAAACAGATATTCAGCTTCAGCTTTAGCCTTTAGAGCTGTGTTTTAACGTTTTTTTTGGGATATTTTGTGTGTTTCAGTGTAACATGTGGGGGATAATTTTTAGTAATGAAACAAACACGTCGTTTTAGAAATTTTTGAGAAATTGCCAGACACTAACAGAGATTCTAAGAAGTTTTTTTAAAACAATCATCTCACACTAACAGAGATTCTAAGAAGTTATGCATAGCACGAGGTTTACGGAAGATTTAAGAGGAACTCACAATCTGTTTCAGTTCTTGTAGCATATAAAGGGAATCAGATCAAATATTTTGATTTGCTCACACTTGAAAGTATTGTTTATACCACCATGAAGAGTATACACAAAACGTTACAATATTGGCTTACCAAAGTGTACATAAGGCTCAGTTTCATATACAAATGTAAAGACTAAGACCTACAGTTTTCACAAAATCTATCCTTTTTATATGCCACAAACAAATATTACAGATATACAAATATGGTATATATTTATATAACCCCCTATCTATAAGAATGCGAAGAGCGCATTTTTCTTGCGCTTCAAGAATCATATTCCCCAATCAACCGGCATTGCCAGCTCTTAAGTGCGTGAAAGCCTTTCAGACAACAAAGTCGTGTAATTGATGGGGATTAGAGAATCTGCCATCTTGCTGGTTTCCAAGGCCAACGTAGCGATTGTAATCATCGATACCAAACCCATGATAGTTCATCAAGCTGTCGTACTCTCCAGTAGCAACACGGTCTGGTTTCGGATCTGCAAACACGAGATTCTCTTCTGCATCAGATCTATATGCCATGTTGTTGTTGTTGTTTCCCTGATTCTGTTGCTGCAAAGAAGACTCTTCGTGTTTGAGCTGAGAAGTTTCTAGCATTTTGTTGTTGTCTTGATTAGAGTTAGAGAGTAACTCTGAATCTCCAAACTCTTCTTTATACATCTCTTCGATCATCGGTTTCCATAGTCGAACTCTCGCGTTAATAAACCAGTTTGCAACCTTGAAAATGTCAAGAATCAGAAGACCGTTCAAATTAAAGCAACATCAAAGATTGAGCCAACAACAAAACTGAGACCTCGCCTTCTTGGTTACCTGGTTTTTCGATAGTCCTGTCTGCTTTGAAAGCATGATTTTCTCTGATTCCTTTGGATATCTACAAAAAAGCTTGAAATGGTTATTACATAAGCAAAGAGAAGCAAAAACATAGTGCCTTCTTAAACCAACAACTTACGGGTGAAGGAAATGCTCAAAGAGCCAAGCGCGGAGTATAGAGACAGAGTTTTCAGGTAAGCCTCTTTGTGGTCTCCAAGCTGGTCTAACCATTCCAAGCTGTTGATGCAAAGCTCTCTGTTGTCTCAACCTTTGATCTAAATACCTAAGACGCGGTATCCTCTCTCCTTGTTCTTCAGAAGTCTCTCTCTCACCAAGCTTCCCTCTGATTACCTGAATCTGCTCTTTTATCGCGTCCCGCAAGCAGCGGAAATGGCGAGAGATTCTATTCAGAGCCACTGATGTGTAAGGCTTAGCTGCTCCAAGACCTGTTACCATCTCGAAAGACGAAGCTAAAGCTTCCATTTGATGGTGGTATTGGTTATACCTTTTATCTACCTGCAAACACAATCATCAAAGCTTAAAAAAATTCTAGTCTCATGACCTCACTTTAAAAGTATTGAAAGATTTGTCTTACCTCGTCCACCATTGTTAGGAGCTTGCTCTTCTTGTTCTGTAACTCCTGACGTTCTGATGGAGATAACTCCTGCGATTGGGATTTCTCATCTTCTGTAATGTTATCACTCGACCCATTTTGAAAGTCTTGACCTTTATCGTTCTTCATCTTCTTGTTCCCCAATTTCAGTTCTTTCCTAACACTAACAACTTCATCAAGCAATTGCTGAGTGGGTTTAAGGTAACGAGATCTCAGAACACTACTCACAAACCCTGATGTCTCGTATCGGTAGTTGTTGAAGAATCCAACACCATTGTTGTTGTAACCAGAGGAAGGTATCATTTGGTCAGAGTGATGTTGTTGTTGATGATGATGATGACCACTCAAGCTCTTCCCATTCTCATCGGACATAGTAGAAGCATTAGGATTACTGTAATTCAATTGGTTGGAAAGATTCTGGTAATGGTATTGAAAGGGAGAGACAGAGACAGCTGACTGGATCTGATTACCAAGGCTTAAAGAAAGACCACCACCGTGAAAGCTTAGATCGTTACTCGACACCGTTACGTTCCCGTTGACTGCAACGTCGCTTGTTGGTGGGATAAAAACCATCTCGTTGTTGTTTCGAACACCGCCGGAGACAATCTCGGAGAAAGATGCAGCAGAGGAAGAAGAAGCTTGTTGTTGTTGTTGTTGTTCGTTGAGGTAAATGGATTCTTGATACAGAGATTGCATGCCGACACTGTTTGGATAATACACAGCCATGGATTTGTGGTTTTGTAATGAAAGAAAAATGCTGTTGTTACATCCGATTGAATATTTTTGTCTGAAAATGAGAAGAGAGAGAGAGAGAGACGTGTAAGTTTGAAACTGAGTAGTGGATAATAAAAGAACAATCTTTGAAATGGTTAAAACATCATATTCTTTTACGCCGCAATTACAGATGAATTCAAGAAAAGAGAGAAAAGAAAAAAACAAAACCCAGAAATCCCCAAATTAGGTAAAAGAAGATATCAAAAACCCTAATTAATCTTTGTTGTACAGATGAAACTTTCCACTTCAATCAGTGACGCAAAGAAAAAAAAAACAGAGCATGATGATGATGATGAAACCATGAGATATATAATTATAAAGTGTTCTCTTTTCTTTTTGTTGGGTTATACTTTCACAAGAATTAACAGAGATGGTGATGGTAAAATCTCTAAAAAGGAAATCTTTTTAATATAAAAGGTACAGGTCAATCATAGTCTTGAATCAAGAAACTGCTAATAAGAACAATCGAATTATTTAAAAAGAAATGGAAACAAAAAGAATCATAACCTGAGATGATGAAACTTTTTTTAAAAAAAAAGCCTACAAAAGAGAGAAGAGAGGTTGTGGATGTGGCTGCATCAGGGAACACAACAGAGATAAAAAGAAGAAGAAGAATAAGAAGAAGAAGAAGAACTTCGAACAACAGTCCAAGACAAAAAGAGATAGAGGGAGAGAGAGAGAGAGAGAAAGAGCAGACACCCAATCCCAAGAGACGATTTTATAAATCCCAATATATTATAATAAACTAAAAAAAAAAATTGGTGCTTTCACTCACAAAGAAGAGAACCAAACCATCTTATCATTGGAACCTCGACAACAAACCCTGATTTTAACAAATAATTTAAATGTTTAACAAATAATAATATATCATTAAACCCTATGGAGAAATTTGACAATCTCTACCAGTAATTCTTTTTTGTTTTTATTTATTAATCCCAACCGAAGCTTCTGTATCAAATTATCAATAAAATAATAATAATAATATTAGATTTTTGTTCTGTGGCCAACCATTTAGAGAATAGCACGCGTGAGCTGAAAATTCATTGTATATAATTCTGATAGGATTATCTTTAGATAATAGAGAATATTTTTATAAATATGACTTTTTAATATATATATATTCAAGTTAATCTGATGAAACAAAAGAATATTATTGGAACCCGAACGAATACTCTGTTGTCGTTGACTTGACTTGGTACTTATATAACAATACAATTACACAAAAAATATAAGAATATATATATTTTTCATTTAAAAAATGAAGAAAAGAGTTGAGTTTTTCATATTTTATGTTTTATGTGTCAAGTTTAATAAGTAGCTTGGAAACAAATTCAAGCAACCGTTGAATTGTTTTTACTATTAAATTTGTCCACCAAAGCTTTGATGAGAGATTAATTTCTAACTAAAGAATCTCAAATATTAGTTGTGGGTGTGCTAATAAAAATCATGGGTTAGTCTTAAGTCTTAACCAACAACAACATATATGTTTTTATAATTTCTTACATGATTGCGGTACGGATCGTTGGGGTTCTAAGCGAACGAGAAACATGTGTTACGTGACTACTAGTATATGATACTACTTCATAACTAATCTATATATATATATATATATATATATATATATATATGATGATGTATATAAACGATAAAACTCTCTATAAATAATGTAATTAAAATCAACAACAGAAACATTTTTTCTGCTCTTCTATTGTTGTTTATAAGGGTATACGTGTTCGTTTGCTTAATACGTCGGGCACACATTTCTTATTAAGTGACGTGCAAAAGAGGAAACTAAAATAACTCCGCTTCTTCTTTTTTTCAGGATTTTCTAATTTCTTTAACATAATTCACAAACAAATAAAGAAGTAGAAATGTCAACAAAACAAATATATTAAAAAATTAAGTTACTAGAATTACAAAAGCAACCCTATAAAACCTAAGAGAAAATTTGATTTGCTTTGAGGAAGAAGTGTTGTATCTTCTCAATTGCTTAATTGAGGGATTAAAGGACCTTAACAACCAGTAGGTGACGACCACCCAATTTCCTTCCTTGTAACGAAAAATCCAATAATTTTGACTAACAACAATAAACACAATTTTCTTGAATCATCAAGCTTGTTTTTATATACTATGTGACATGAGGATATATGTGACATGAGAAGGGAAAAAAGTCTATTTTATTTTTCTAAAAAAATAAATATATTTATAAAAACAAATAGCAGTAATATGGAAACTTTATGATGGGTCGATTCCTTGTCCCAAGAGGATCTATGGAGGTTGTGTAATAAATAATAGAAAAAGTAGAACTTGAAAAAGAAAAAAAGAAAAATGATGAAAAAAATTGAAACTGAAATAAATAAGGTAGCTGTGTCGGACGCGAGGGTTGGTGAAAGTGGCCAAAAAAAAAAAAAAAAGGCTTGGACGCCAATTTGTTTTGTAGACGACGTTCGTTAACGGCTTTGTTGTGTCCATTATTCATAAATGTTTATTCTTCTAGTTTTCATTTTCTTCTGTATATTCTTTGTTTTATTTTATTTGTTTCTATTGTTTTTGGTTGAGTCTCGGTTTTTGTCATCGCTTGGAACAGCCGACACAAACCTTTCAATGAGAATCAATGTGTTACACCAAATCATCTTTATGTTCTTTTGTTATGAGTGTATTATTTTTTTAATGTACAATTGGCAAACGACTGGTGGAATATATATGTGAGTAATAAATCCAAACGTATTGAAAGGTTCAAATATTTTTAACTTTCTAAACTAGGTTACATGAATGTGGTTTTCTAAAGCGAATTATGATGAGTTTCTCTCATAATAATACTTATAATTAGATTTGAATCGATGATGACAGTGCTAAATGAGGAAACGACGAGTAAGAAACCAACAGCTTTTGTTTGGACAAAAGCTTTCTCCCACATTTAGTACACCTACATTATGACAGCTAATAATATTAAATATCCTTAATTACGATATAAATAAGAGGATAATTGCAATTGGGGGAGAAAATAATGAACAGTTAATTCACTATCGATTATTTTACAAGAACAATCTGATTAAACTACATATGTAAATGACATCAAAGTAGTATAAGAATAAGAGTTTATAGTATGGTTAGATATATATGTTTACGTTGAACAGTAATTAATCCCATTAGTTGACATCAGAGTAGTATAAGAATCAGCTTTTGTTTCATAAGCCGTATATAGCACCATTAAAATGCTCTGACACAAAATCTGATTTTGACCTAGTTTGTCGTATCTTTACATAATGTTTCGCTGAGAATGATATATATATCCGGAGAAGCCACTATATTTGAGTTTCATCTTTCAAGCGTTTGAGAAATTACACATGCAATGTAAAATCATAATGTTTTTGTATCATAAGAGGGAAATATATATGGTTCTCGCAAAAAAGATTGACACGACCTGTGAAATTACATTTTCAAAACATACGTAGAACATAATAAATTGGCAGTGCATGAGATTTCAAAGCCATATGATAATATTAAACCTCATTAGTAAATGATACACAATTACTAAAGTGGAGTTTCAATTTTATCTTGTATTAAAATTGCCTTTTTCTTGGTGCAAATAAAATTTCCCATGATAATATAGTCTAACAGAAACCTCTTCTCTCACTAGCGGCTTTAAGACCAAATAACCCTCTTTGTCGCCTAGAGGGTTAAAGAATTATTTGCTTTCAAAACGGCATGATTTGCTTTCAAAACGGCATGATTTGCTTTCAAAACGGCATGAATTGCGAAAACCTACAAAAGTGCTAACTTCCAAGGTTCTTCTTCTCAGTATCACTGAGTTTGAATCAGTTCTACTCAGAGATCCAATTTCTTTTGCCTAATCGTAATCAAAAATTTGATTTTGGAGATTAGTAGCTTAGTTCGAGGAGGAATTTGCGAAGATTTATTGTTGAAAACCGTGGGATGTGTGTTTAGCGGAGAAAAAAAAAGCAATGTCGAAAGCGTCGACGAGCATTTGGGTCACAATGCAAAGGAAGAGATGGGCAATGATGGTTTTATTGTTTTTATCTGTATCAACGGTTGGGTTGATTCTCGTGAGATCTAGCTTTGAATCATGTAACTTTAGCGGCCAATTCGTGGAGGAGAAGAATGGTGATAGCAGCGCCACGAAGCTTCAATCAAATCCTCTAGGTTTCATGAAATCGAAGCTCGTTTTGTTAGTTTCCCACGAGCTATCACTCTCAGGTGCTAAATTTGATCCCTATTTGATCCGGGTTTTCGAAAAAATCCTTTCTTTCTCTTAAGGGGATGATTGATTTTGTGTGACGAAGGTGGACCGTTGCTGTTGATGGAATTGGCGTTTTTGTTAAGAGGAGTTGGTGCTGAAGTTGTTTGGATTACTAATCAGAAACCACTTGAAGCAGATCAAGTTATCTACAGTCTAGAACACAAGATGTTGGATCGAGGAGTTCAGGTTCTCTTTATCTTTATCTTATCAAGATGTATACTGCTTAAGTTGCTGTAAAGATGTTGTCTTGGACTTTTTCTTAGTCCCGTTGTACTGAATTAGCAACTTTAGTGAATACGAGTATCATTTACTATATTGATTGACCAAGTTCTTTGTTTCTTTTTTTGGTCTTGATGTGAACTCTCTGACTCCAGGTGATCTCTGCAAAGGGTCAGAAAGCCATAGATACAGCTCTCAAGGCTGATTTGATTGTTCTAAATACTGCTGTGGCTGGGAAATGGCTGGATGCTGTTCTCAAGGAAAATGTTGTTAAAGTTCTACCTAAGATCCTTTGGTGGATTCATGAGATGAGAGGACACTATTTCAATCCAGATTTGGTCAAACACCTCCCCTTTGTTGCAGGGGCCATGATTGATTCTCACGCAACAGCTGAATACTGGAAAAACAGAACTCAGGCTCGTCTAGGGTCCGTTTCCTCCTTTGCACTTCCTGCTTCATGTCAATCATATACAGAAATCTCAGTTGGGTTCACCTGTTTTTATTTCTTCTTGTAGCTTAACACTGTTCTATGACTGTTGGAATACAGGATTAAAATGCCCAAAACTTATGTCGTACACTTAGGAAATAGCAAGGAATTGATGGAAGTAGCTGAAGACAGTGTTGCCAAGAGAGTTCTCCGTGAGCACGTCCGAGAATCTCTTGGAGTACGGAATGAAGACTTACTATTTGGCATTATTAATAGTATGCCATCTTTTAAGTCTTTCCTCTTCTCAGTCCCTTGAGGAGGATAATCTATTTAAGGAGTTAAGAGTTCATGTGTAACCAAAGAATTTACCTGAGTTTGTTATTATTTTCAGGTGTATCACGAGGAAAAGGCCAGGACCTATTCCTCCGAGCCTTTCATGAAAGTCTTGAAACAATCAAAGAGAAGAAACTTCAGGTACCAACAATGCATGCAGTAGTAGTAGGAAGCGACATGAGCCGACAGACAAAGTTTGAAACTGAACTACGCAACTTTGTCCAAGAAAAGAAACTTGAGAACTTTGTTCACTTCGTCAACAAAACTCTAACCGTAGCTCCATATATAGCAGCCATAGACGTTCTTGTCCAGAATTCGCAAGCCAGAGGAGAATGCTTTGGGAGAATAACAATCGAAGCCATGGCCTTTAAGCTACCTGTACTTGGTACTGCAGCTGGAGGTACAATGGAGATTGTAGTGAACGGAACAACCGGTCTGTTACATAATGCAGGGAAAGAAGGCGTGACACCTCTTGCCAAGAACATAGTGAAATTGGCGATGCAAGTTGAGTTACGGTTAACAATGGGGAAAAATGGGTATGAGAGAGTAAAAGAGATGTTTTTGGAACATCATATGTCACATCGAATAGCTTCGGTTCTCAAGGAAGTCTTGCAACACGCAAAGGCTCATGCTTTACGATGAGATGAAATCATTTAAACTGGGATGTTTCTTCTGTTCATAGAAATTTTACAAAACTACAGCAAATTTTGTTCCTTTTTTTTTTGTTTGTGTATGATGGTTTTCTAATTATGAATACAAATTGAGAATTAGCTTCGCTGCTGAATTCGTAAGTGCCGTCGAAGTCTTGTGTCATCTAAATTACAGAGTGTACATATCCTGGAGTTAAACTGATAAAACCAAAACGTATGGGGTCAAAGTAGAATATGTGTAAAAGAGCGGGATTTAATAGATATACGTTAGTACGTTAGGAATGTTTCAGTTGTGGAAAATCAAACGGGAAATATAACAGATTCTTTAGCTGAGAAAAGGGAAGAAAAAAATCTCAGAATCGTTCGTGTCCTTCGTTCTCTTGCTTTACTTAGTACTTCAAGTTCAAAGCTTTCAAGGTTCGCTTCCATGGAAGACAGAGAAGAAGAGTCAGAGAGGAGACGCGACGCCATTAAGACGTACAAGCAAAAGCTACTCATTCGCAAATTTCACCAACTATCACTCGATTTTGGTCCAGATTCCTTCTAAACCCTCTTTCCCAGCTAATGTTTGCTATGCACGTCTCTTTCTAGGGTTTAATGAGAATGCATGACAAGTGTTTTCTGTGTGTCAGTGACGAGGATATTGGAGCTTATCAAGAAAGTGTTTAAAGAAACTGAACACGTTCTCAATTACCTTACCACTACTCCTGCGGAAGCAGTTGGAGAAATCGTAAAACCTCTAGACAAAGAACGATGTAAACATCTCTCTCTCTCTCTCTCTCTCTCTCTCTCTCTTTCACTTTTTCTTGATTTTGTTTTGTTTTGTTTCTTTGTCAGATCCATTCACTTTCACAAATTTAATCTTCAGTTATTGTGAAAGGAGACGAGGGAGTTCGTTACATTGTGAAGTGCTGTAACAAAGTGGATAAATCAAAGCTAGTTTCTGGAACCAGAGTAACTCATGAGATACTATCAATGACGATCATGAGAATTCTCCCTCCTATGGTTAATCCCTTGGTTTATAATATGGTGCATCAACATCGTGGAGACGTTAGCTACTCCGATCTTGGTGGTTTGTCTAAGCAAATCAGAGATCTTAGAGATTACATTGAACTTCCTCTCACGAATCCTGATATGTTTCAACGAGTTGGTGTAAAGCTTCCCAAGGTTTGGATTGATTTTGTTGTTCTGATTTCGAACTTGTTGTTCCCAAGATTCACTGTGTTGAGTTATGTTAGTAGGGAGTGCTTCTTTATGGACCTCCTGGAACTGGAAAGACATTGTTAGCTAGAGCAATCGCTAGCAATATGGATTCGACTTTTTTGACAGTAAGAGACTTCATATACAATGCTTGTTTTTAAGATCTCTTAGCTTGTACCAAAATTATAGGATAGTTTGGTTTTTTTGAAGGTTGTTTCTAGCGCGCTTCTAAGCAAATATTTAGGAGATAGTTCATTGTTAGTGAGAGAGATGTTTAGATATGCTCGTGATCATCAAGTAAGTTCTCTATATTTTTTTGCTTAATATATACATGTTTGTGATTTTGTATAGCTTACGTCTGAGATAAGCTGTGTTATTTTCTTCTTCTTAAAGCCCTGCATCATCTTTATGGATGAGATTGATGCTATTGGTACACGTCGTGGATCCAGAGAAGACGTAAGACCGTGTGAATGTGATAGAGTTCTCATTGAGCTTCTTTCCCAGCTTGATGGATTCAATGAACTTGAGAAGGTATCTCTGCATCTTTGTTGTTTTAAAATGCTCAGCAAAAAGATTCATTTATGAATCATGGCTTCTTGTATTTTATTAGGTGAAAGTAATAATGGCAACAAACAGACCTGATGTTCTTGACCCTGCGCTTCTTCGACCTGGTAGGATCGATAAGAAGATAGAGATTCCATTGCCTAATGGAGATTCTAGAATGAGAATACTCAAGATTCATGCTTCTGGTATAAATAAACATGGAGAGATCGATTACGAGAAGATTGTGAAATTATCTGAGGTTTGTCACACATACATACATAGATACATACATACATGACTTGTGTTTGTGTAAGCAAAACAAAACAGAGCATATTGTTTTTATATTGAAAAAATGTATTTTTTGCAGGGATTCAATGGAGCAGATTTGCGTAACATATGTACTGAAGCAGGGATGTTAGCTCTACGAGCAGAGCGCGATTACGTTGTCCCCAATGATTTCATCAAGGTAAGTTAAGTTTCTGCTTATTGTATGATCTTTGATAATCTGTTGCAATCTTTCCCATCTTATGATCATAAAAAACACTTTTTTCAGGCTGCGACAAGACTAGGCGAAGCGAAGAAACTTGAATCCAGTGCACAGTACGATGTTGACTTTGGGGAAGAGTAAAGATAGAGAAACATACAGAAGAAGAGATAAAACTGACTAACAAATTCATGAAAAGAAGAAGCATAGATCTAATTAGACAGAGAACATTTGTTCTGTTTTTAATTGTTTCAGTCAGTTTGAATCATCATTAGCTTCTCTTTGCATGGATTCATCTGAGGAATCTCCAAATTCTTCTCTATACATCTCTTCTATCATCGGTTTCCAGAGTCGAACTCGAGCATTTATAAACCAATTCGATACCTTTGATCATCATCAACAACAACAAAAATGACCTCATTCAATATCAGGATGATACCAAAATTTTTAAAGCAAGATCAGAGTCAGAGAAGTGTACTTGGTTCTTGGAAAGTCCTGTTTGAGACGCCAACACCAGCTTCTCTGCTTCATTCGGATAACTGTTTTCATTACAAGAATCAAAACGTTATTTGTACAACATTTTACTTCAGTTCATCTCTACTATTAGTTACTTAAGCAACAAGAAAACTGACGGATGCAAGAAATGTTGAAAGAGCCAAGCTCGAAGAATCGCAACGGAAGTCTCAGGCAAGCCTCTGATGGGTTTCCAAGCATGTCTCTGTGGTCCTTGAACCAAACCAAGACGCTGAAGTGATGATGAAGTGTTCCCATCGAACAAGCTGAGCTGTGATAAGCCAGAGCTGATGATCTTGGGCACATCTTGCTGAGAGATGATAAATCTCCGACGAACAGAGTTGAGCTGAGATATGATTGCTTCTTCAAGGCTACCGAAATGACGAGTCATGGCTTGGAGAGCTAAACCGGTGTATACTTTGGATGATCCATCTCCTGCTATTTCCTCAAATGATGAGATCACTTGCTCCAATTGATTGCAGTACATGTCAAATCTTTCTTCTACCTGTCCATAAGCCAAGGAAGTAAACCGGTTTTAACCAAAATATAGTTACAACAAAAACAGAGGAAACCAATCTTAAAACATCTTAATCCAACAAACAAAAAATACTAACTCTTCGAAAATTAAAGAAATAGACCATTTTATTTAGATTTTATTGCTATCAATTAAAGGTTTCTATGCTTTATGATTTAGAGATTTTTGGGTTAAGGTTTTGTCTTTACACTTTAGAATTAGTTATTAGACTTTTAAGTTTTGGAGTTTTAAGAAGTATACACTACTTTGTTAAACTAAACATATATAAACCCAATTTAGACTATTTTAAAAGTCGTTTGGATGATTAGAGTGACTGACCTGTTGCAACAAACTGAGAAGCTTGGTGATTTTGATATGAATCTCATGATTCTCAGGCAAAGACATGAAACCTGCACTGCAAAGTTCGGATTTGATTTCGGAAGACAAACCAAACCCGGATCTTCTCCTTCCTGGAAACATTTGTTGGATTAGGATGTCGTTGCAGAGCTCAACATCTCTACCACCTATATCGATAACTTCTTCTACAAGGCATTGCACTGCCTTGGCATATCTTGAATCCAACAAAGTACCACGAAGAGATGAACACTCATGTCTTACTCTAAACTCATCCATCTTCCTCTACTTGGAGACGTTTTTGTTACTCCCTTTGCTCCACAACATACATATATAACCAAGAAGCAATCAGTATATATATTTTATATCCATATATTGGCTTTTAAAAAAATTGGAAGTTGACTTGTAGCGAAGATAGCTTTTGAAACCCATAAATACTAGGCCAATGCTAGTTATAAACCAGAGTGCCTCCATTATATTTTGTTTTTCTTCATTTTTTTTTTTATTTTTTTGATAATTGAGTAAACATTATATTTTCGGTGGACTTTATTGCTTGTATAAATATCAAATTTGAAAATGAGGAAACTGTTGGTTGAAATGTGTGCTGTTTACTGAGGTAGATTCTACCTATTATTCGATTAGACCCTAAAATAGTATATTTTTGTGGCAACACAACACATATAAAAGATATAACGTTTAAAAACACCACTATTTGAGGTAATCCATGGTCAAAGCTAAGTTTTGTATTCAATAATTGTGTTAAGGAAAGCACTGAAGATTTTGAAAATCATGAAGCACCTAGAGAGTAAGAGCCAATGCTGCATCCTGCAGCAAAGGAATGCACTATGCATAGTTACCTACACCTCCACCTAATAATAGCACTTAGTGTATATCTAAAACAATGGCAAATCAATTAAGTAAAAAGTGAAAACTGTCCAAAGTTTTTTTGGTTTTTGTATATCCTTGTCAAAAAAAAGGGATTTCAAAAAAATCTATATGGTCCCTCCCTCCCTCTGAGCACAAAAACAACAGGCTTTTGCATAAATGCTTCTTCTTATCTTGTTTCAGCATCCATGATCCCTTTTTTGAGCTTCTTAGCTTTGTTGGGAAGTTCAAAACCCCAAAAAGAGAAAAAGACATACACATGCAAACAACAAGTATTAACTTCTCTTTACATTTTCTTTTTAAGAATTACTTTTCAATATATGTTGCACAGGAAGTATAATATATATATTGTTTACTTCTTTTGCTATTATTCCTATACTTCTATACATAATAATCAAAAGGGGTAAACTAGTGTAGACGTGTAGTCGAAGACTTAAAGACTTGTTTGTGGAACCAATAATGACTCTCTTGGGGGAACAAATCATATTTCCTAACGACTATGATTTCAAATTTCCACAATTCTTCTTTAAGAATGATGGAGTTAAGATTTGACAGCCATGTATTGGAGTTACGTTTAGTTTTCTCTTCATGTATAAACGAGCATGCATGTTTGGTCAAAATCTTCATGAGAGTTTTACCTTATTAAATGTGGATGTAAAAGAAGAAGGGTTCATGATTGCTGTTATTTATTGGAAAATTCAGAGATTTTGTCTGCGTCGTCTGAACTGAGAACAATAAAGGCAAAGGAGCATGAAAACTTTAAAAGAGTAGTATTCGTTGATAAACATGATAGTAGGTGATTGATAATTAGGACAGCTCGTAGATGTTGAAAAGACGCTGCAAAGATCTTGAGGACATTGCTTTGGCTCTTTTCATCTACACTTTCTGCTGCTAGTTGCTACTACTACACATCCAATGGGCCTTCGAGTCTTCGACTTTTTCACCTATTCCTAGCTTCTATTTAATTTATTCCACTATAATATTTGATCATTTATTTGTTTTGGTCTCACAGAGTTTTCATAAAATGAAAAAAGTTCAAAAAACTAAAAATATTCATTATAACAAGTATTTTTTATTTTTTGGGGGTTTAATGCTCTCATGATTCCTTTTTTTTGTTTTATTTAGAAATTACATAAATTTCATTTGCCTTAAAACAGCAATTATATCTAATTTAATACAATCCAAAGGGCAATGAAAAAGTACTGCAAAATATAAAAAATCACAATACATCCAATTAACTGAAACAAAGCATAGAAAATTTTAAAAAAATATCCAATAATGAACAAAAAAAAATTCTTAAACATCTAACTTAATCAGACAGGGAAAGTATTTAACAAGGATTTTTTTTAACTTAGGAAAAAAAAAAAAATTGTAGTCTAATAATTTTCATTAATGAGGAATAATAAAATAGTGATAATGGAAACGCAAGCAAGAACATGATAAGTTACAATTTCACCCTTGGACCGTTTCATTAACGCAGGCAAAATCCAGCGATCCTGGCTGCAAGTCACTGACACAGATACACCAAAGTACGAAACGGTCGTGGATCTTAATAAACGCAGGATTCTACACGTGGCGACATCTTGACCGTCCATTAAAACAAACAATCAAACCTTCCGATCTGATATTAAAGATCTCTTCTTCAATCATCGAAGACCCCACTAGTCTCACCCCTCTGATCCTTCCTCGATCCTTCTTCTCAAAAGGGGATTTGAGATTTTTATCTCTTTGTCTCTCAATCTTCTAAGAAGAAGCTCCATGACAAGCTCCAGTGCTCCTTCTCGCAAGGTTCTCTCTCACTTGCTCTGTTTATTTGACTTTGGTTTTGGAATTAGGGTTATTGACTTTGGGAAAATTGTGTGGTGTGTAGGCTCTGAGCAAGATCGCGACTAACAGGCTTCAGAAAGAGCTTGTTGAATGGCAGATGAATCCACCCACTGGCTTCAAACATAAGGTCACTGATAATCTCCAGAGGTAAAAACAATTGTGTTTACTTTTTTGAGAATCATGAAATCTCCTGAGGACTTCGTTGATGTGAAAATTTCATGGGTTTGTTGTTTGCAGATGGGTAATTGAAGTTATTGGAGCTCCAGGAACTCTCTACGCCAACGATACCTACCAGCTTCAAGTTGATTTTCCTGAGCATTATCCTATGGAATCACCACAAGTGAGAGTTTTTTTAAAAAAGTTTTATATATATTGAGAGGCCTCTGTTCAATGGTAGTTTAGTCAGTGTTATGAAGATCTCTTAACTAATGTATATATTGTGAGTTTTGAATTTGTAAGCTGATATATTTAGTTTAGTGTTTAGACCCTAAACTGCATTTGCTTTTAAATTAGTGCTTGATGATCAATCTTGGAATCTCTGATATTTCTCAAGTTTGGTCTCTGCTTTATTGTGATATTATCTTTGATCTCTCTCTCGAGTTGACTTGAGTATCCTTTTGTTTGCTTCAATTTTGTACAGGTGATTTTTCTTCATCCAGCTCCTCTTCACCCTCACATTTACAGCAACGGGCATATTTGTTTAGGTATGTCAGTATCCTCTGTTTTTATGATACTCTCTTGCCTCTTTTGGTTATTTATCTATTACTTTTTGTTTCATAATATGATTTCTAATGGTTCTACTTGCCTTCATCTGAAGCTTGATGGTAGATGTCTTTGATTATTCGTGTTTATTCTCCATAGATTTGGTTTTTGTCATGGAATAAGGCATCTCATCTCTCGCTTGTGTTTGGTAGGAACAAGATATATTAAGATATTTGGCAATAGTCCTAGTCATAAACTCAACGGCCATTTATGAATTATGATCCTCTGTGAACTAATTTGGAGTCTTACTGATAATAGATATTTGATTTAGATCCAAAGGTATTCCCATATCCATAAGATCAGTGTTGAGAAAAATCTACATCATGGCTGAAAACATTTTGAGCATTTCTTGCATTTTATTATTCGAATTGTAATGTACATTTTAAACATAGGCCATCCCAAAGAAGAAGCTGATGTTTGTGCATCGATTTGCAGATATTTTGTATGATTCGTGGTCTCCAGCCATGACGGTGAGTTCGATATGCATCAGTATCCTCTCCATGCTTTCAAGTTCAACTGAAAAGGTACATACAACGCTTAGTCTTACCATTGTGCAAGCCATATTCTGTCTTTCACAAAGCTGAACCTTCCTCTGGCTTGGTTGTTTTTTTTTTGTTGCAGCAACGACCACCCGACAATGACCGCTATGTCAAGAACTGTAAGAACGGGAGATCTCCAAAGGAGACCCGATGGTGGTTCCACGACGACAAAGTATAAACAGGCTCGGTCGACCATAAAAATGTAAAATAATCCGAAACAGTGTCGAGGTTTGTTGACTATTTTTTTTAATTTAACCGGGTTTAAGCTGGCTGTCCCAAACCCATTCTCCAAAATCCGTGATGTAGAAAAACAACACAAGAAAAGAATTAAAAAAAAATTGGCTAATTTGAATTTTCTACTCTAATTTTTAAAGCCCTAATAACAAAATACCCAAACCTAATCTCTCTGATGCTTCTCTACTAGGTCATATATATACATCAGGAAGAATATTTCTCAACTACTACTTTCCTCTGGTTTTGTTCTGTCACCATGAAGCAGCTGACGAGGAAGAGGACGATGGAGGAAACAAAGACAAAGATGGGTTTTGAAAGATTCTTTGGCCAGTAGCAAGTATATGTCGCGGATCGAACTCAGCCTTGAGGCTTCTGAACCGATCCCACTTGTCCCCAAAATGAGCCACCCACTCTTCCTGTGTTGCGTGGTGGGGAAGGTACTGCTTCACGTTGATCTTGGCTTGTTCGCAGAACTCCAAGATCCGCCGGTTCTGATCTTTCAGATACTCTAGCTTCTGTGTCTCCTCACCGTCCTTTAAAGCTGATCTCAACAGAGCCACCAGATAGAAAACTTCCTCATCGGGCGTCACGGCTGAGCTCCTCTCGTCCCATCTGGCAAATAACAATCAAATTACGACACGTCAGCAACGACAATATTTATACACAATTAATAAAATGATGCGTTGGAGGGTTCGTTGAGATCGGTTTGGTTTAGGAGAATCCGATCGGGACCCATACACACCATAAGTTCTAGGAACTTAAAGAAAAAACAAAACAAAACCCAATCTGGACCGTCGGATTTGGTCGCAAAACAAAACGAACAAAAGAGAAAAAGACGAGCCGATGAGGCGTTATTGTCAATCTTAGCTGGTTCGATGCACATGTGGACAACGTTTTTCGGACAATCCCATGTACCACGTGTCGAGTTTTTTTTACGATTTTGACAAACTGTTTTATTCTTGGACCACTAATTTAATCCCCACACAAGTGTAATTTTGCATGCATGCAAAACTCGTTCTGTTCTTTTATTTCTATCGATGCAGAAATAGTAGTAATCAACGGTTATGTTAAGACTTACTTGTCTTTGTT